CGCTGGCGTTGATGCATACACCCACACACATTAATTATTGTTAAATCACAAATTTTCAAAAATTTGAAATAAAACCGTGGAAAAAAGGTAAGAAAGAACACTTTCGCACGTAATCTTTAAGTGTGATATTAACTGAATCGCAACCGTGGTACCTGTAAACAGACGAAATGAATTAGACTAATAAAAAATCAACTAAACGAACTTTCTCCCCATTTTCTGAAGTGACAACAGCTTTTCCCATTCCACAGTTTTCAGTGCTGCGGTGAAGAATTTCGGGGAGGTGTAGACGATAGGTTTCTGGGTAATTTCGTTCCACACGGGGCATGGATGGTCCCTCATGCGCTGGGCAATCTGGTGTTGCCTGAAACAGACTCAAGTACAGCAGCCCAAAGTTTTCGTATTTCGGCTGTTAAACGGAAGTACAGTGCGATAGTTTCCCTCAAAGGGATAATGCGAAACACCGGTTTATAAAGGAACGCAAGCGCTTTTTCAAACAGCGCACGTGCCGGTTATCCCACTTAATCCTTCAGTGTGTCCTCGGAGTTCAAGACGTTGTTGCCGAGTCGTATTGTTATATGGAATCGCCTCTGGCATTGTTCGAGATTACCAGCCGATTTCTTTAGGTAAGGGTTTGTAACCGAACCACAGCGGTCAATGACGGACATTACAAGTGATTACAAGTCCATGCTTCGGGCATGACCTTTCCACGAACTGGATTCTCTGTGGTATTGTTTGCTGGGAAGCATTTACGGAAGCCAAAAATGCCCAAAATGCCATTCATAATAACCTTAACCGTTGGCTTTAACCGTTGCATAGCAGACTGCCGTCAAACACTTTACCGTTTCTCGACTTTGTTGTAAATTGACAGTTTATGAAATCATACAGTGTCAGACTTGAACATTGTAAACGCTGAACATCGGAAACTGGGTGCATTGAAGAAAGAGATTGAGTAGGTGCTCAAAACGGACGGCAAACTGGTGCAAAATGCGGACCGTGCGTTATCAAGCAGCATCCCACCGGCACCATCCACTGAGACAAAGGTTGCGAAAGAACCAAAGCTTGCACGATGGCGTTCGTGGCAGCATTTTCGGGGAACACGACAGATTTTTGCTGACTTGCGACAGGGATAGAAACACTTATAATCTAATGTTATCGAAAGAATCGTTGTTAAGGGAATGCTTATCTCTTTGAAATAATTTCTAATACAATGATTTCCTATCCTTTCCTGTTGATTCCGTTGGGCAATCAAACCTGTGGGCTCTGGATAAAGTTTATGCAAAGTAAGTCCTCGTCCACGTCTGTGAATATTGTATGCGTCCATTTGCAACCAATAGCCCTGATACAGGCGATTGTAGTTTGAACAATAAATTTGTATTTATGTTTACAACTGCAAAATAATAGAGAATTTTACAACTCTTGGGATCGCCTGAAAGTATGCTATACGGTTACCACTTTCCTTAAGCACAAATCTCCACATATACTCTACCGAGCCCACTTTTTTTATTAACAGACGAATCCGACGAAACAATTTTTTTTAAGCGACTATCCCGGTTCGATTTCGTAATAAGGCATTCATGGATTAGATGTGCCGAGCACCGTCAAAATACGGAGCCAGGACGGATGCGTTTTAATTGTAACAATTTCGTTGTAATTTTACGTAGTCTACGTACTCCGGACGTACCAATTAACGTCAAACATTGCGCGATAACTCTACTTAAACATACTGTCCCCGTCACGTCTCGGGTCTGCACAACACACTTCAAAAAAGTGCTACCTGGCGAACCGGGTATCCCGGAGACAAGACGATAATTCTTATTTACAGTCTCACGCTGATCAGATGCATGGAAAACTGGGTTACCGTATTTATTCTAATAGTATGCGGGCAGGTCTACCAAAGATTTGCGGTTGCGAGTGCACACCTGGGCATATAACTCGATAAAAGAACGGCAGCCGTATAGATAATATACGAGGTACTCTATGACAGTCTATGTAACACAAATTTTGGGAACTAAGGGGGTTTGCTAGTAGTTAAAAAAAAACAGCGCCCACGTAGCTCTCAGTGCAGTACAAAAATGCTACAATCGGTTTTAGGAACTTTACCGGGAACGGACAAACTTGATGCTATTGGTGATTTTGGTTGTTTTTCAATTCTTGATTGTGCAATGCCGGCCGTGGTGACATTACCCATGAGGCCCTATTTTTTTGCTACAAACCCGTCACAGGTCTGATTGCCCCCCAGTGGCCACAATAGGTCAGCTGATATCTCCAGATACATGGACATGGGGTAAATGGACAATGATCCGCCGGCTCTCGAAATTTGTAGTGCATGTAAGTACTCGTACAAAGGTTGTACGAGTATCTCGTGAATTTGAAAAGATGTCCTGAGGATAGTGCGCCGTAGCAACGGGATAGTAAATGTCCAGTGTTGTTGTTGTGCATGCTCAGAGTTTACTTGCCTGGTTGGCTCCGTAGCGGGCAGTCGTATTAATAAGGTATACGCCGCCGCTACAAGTACATACATCACAACAATAGGTCAGCTGATATCTCCAGATAATGGGCAGTGATCCGCCTGCTCTAGAAATTACAGCAGAAAAAAACGTGTCTAAGCTGGTAACCTTGTAACTGCCAGTTTCTGACCAGTTCGGGGCAGAATTTTCGAAAGCTGACCAAGCCATCCCTAACCGGATTTTATTCGATGCCCCGAGATTCCGAAACACAGCTGAATATTACAATTCGAATTGAACAGCTACAGAAGTATACTTAACTAAATACTCGTACTCGTTTTTTTGTCGGTCTTCCTGTTTGCTGGGTTCAAGAATGTCGCAAAATCATCTTCATTGTCAGTTGTTTTCAGCTGTCTTGGTTCGTGAAGGTTGGAAATACTCGTACATGTACAACATCAGCCCATCGCTCATCTGATGGCTATTCTAGTCTTTTGGAATCATCTTTTACCTTCTTTTAATCAGTGATCTTTCAGTGGTCAGTTTGTGTATGCCTTTGGATATTATACAGACTATATTTATATTTATATATTTATCTTTTAATATATTTAATTAATTTAATTTTAAATTTTAAATATTTAATTTTTAATTTTAGATATTTATTAATATACTTATTAGTATATTTATTATATTAATATATTTATTAATATAGATTTATTATTAATATATTTATTTAATAATATATTTATTTAATATATTTATTTAATATATTTATTTAATATGTTTATTTATTATGTTTATTTATTATGTTTATTTAATATATTTATTTAATATATTTATTTAATGTTTATTTATATTTATTATGTTTATTTATATTTTATTTAATATATTTATTTTATTATATTTATTTAATATATTTATTTAATATATTTATTTATTATGTTTATTTAATATATGTTTATTTAATATATTTATTTAATATGTTTGTTTATTATGTTTATTTTAATATATTTATTTAATATATTTATTTAATATATTTTATTATTGTTTTATTTTATTTAATATATTTGTTTAATATATTTATTTAATATATTTATTTAATATATTTATTTAATATATTTATTTAATATATTTATTTAATATATTTATTTAATATATTTATTTAATATATTTATTTAATATATTTATTTAATAAAGTACGATCGGATAGCATGCATTACAGACATATACTGTGATAGTGTGATTTACCACAGGAGCACATACGTACATGTCTGTTCTTGACCATATTCTGTGCGTAGCAAGACACCCATCAGATTTGCGCGGCAGTTTAATAACTTACAGATGAGTACAGATTATTGCTTAAATGATACTATAACTTTGTTGGTTCGCTACGTACTTCATTAATACTCGTACATAACAATTATACACCAGCGAAGTAATCGCCGAATACATGTCATAATAATAATAATAATTCATTATCCCCATGACACTGTGTTGTACCGCGTACATTATCAGTACTGCAGCTTCCAAGCGCGTTGTTACAGCAATTGACCACCCCTGTACGAGATGTTGCTGCTTGCACAGTACTGCTGAGTGCAGACCAATCCGTACGAGTTGTGCGTTCAAATCGGGATACATGTACTGGCGAGCATAGACATTGGTTGGTACATCTCCCCGTACGAGCGAGCACTGATACTGGCGTAACCGCCACTCACTTCCTCTTCCGCATCTATAATCCTGCTACATACCCCGCTCACCAGACAGACAAATGATCCCGGGCCAAACTGGTTAAGACAGAGTCAACCGTCAGGGAAAAGGAGCGTAGAATTGAATCTTTAAACTTCTTACAGTTACGGTACCAAAGCCTTTAGCATACTAAACGCAGTAAACTAACAGTGGTGCATGGAAACCTCGTCTTCCGCGCCTAATAACGTGTAGTCAAATATCGTCCATATTGTGACCAGTGTTAAACTGTTACCGCGAAACATCAGGGTCATATCTTTCCGTCTTTTTTTGTTGAAGAATGAAAAGCGACAACAAGTCATCGCTCGTCAACTCGTATGTAGCCACATGGCCTAGCAAACGTGCCCGCTAAATTTATTTCACTGCGGAAAAATCTCAATAGAAAACTTTATTTTATCATTCCTAAGTTTTTTTTCCAAAGCGTGTTTTAGTGTAAGTCGGAACCGTTTATAACAATTAATAATACCAACATCAGGCAATTTTTTTTGCGTTCACGAGTGGTGATCCTTTCCCACCCACCGTGCACCACGGTATCATGCGGGCACGCTGCGTCTGAGCAGTCAGTCAGTTGCAGTGGGAGCATGCGCAACACACACTACCATCCAGCTGAATCATGCAGCGGACTGTGAATGGCGGATACTGCGCGCCGCACTACACCAAGTTGCAAAACACGGGATGAAGTATGCACAGCAGTGTATGAGCCGCAACAGTGTTTTTCCCGGCGTCATTTCCAGCCGGCGTACGTACAGTGGCACACACACTCCGCCAGCATCCAACGCTACAAGAAAACGGCATGGCACTTGATCACTAGATCACTTCCATGCTCTCCTCTCTCTCTGCTCTCTTCCTCTCTCTCCTCTCTTTCTTTACTCTCGTGTCTCGCTTGCCCACACTGCTACACACACAAACACGAGCGCATATATCGGCAAACTCTCCGACCTAATACATAATTTTCCTTCGGAGAAAATTACACAACCTATCCTCATCTCGCGCGCGCGGCTGTGTGCAATATCTCTCCCCGCAATAACCCATATATCCTTTGCGTGTCGTCGTCGTGCGCTGGAGGAACCGTGTATGTGTCGGTGTTTTATCGCCACTTTCCGCGGCGCGTTCACTGATCATCATGATTACCGATCAACGCTGATCACCACTGTGTCCTGCTAATCTCCCACATCCGCCATGGAAGCGGGTATTGTAATACGCGGATAAATAATTATACCATAACCGGGCTTGTGTTGAAAATTGGTGGATTTGCTATTTGCGGCGCGCACCGCCTGAATGCGTGGCTGTGTGCCTAAAACGGAGGGATATGAATAATTCATTAGGCGCGCTGATCGCTCATTACTCCATTAGTCCGTGCACCGCCATTAGGACACTGCGCTGGGCCACGTGACCAGGTAAAGCACAGTGTGCGCGTATAGTGCAAAAGGTGCCTTTGACATCGGGGATTAATAGAGTGTCCATTGTACGGCGTCAAACGCCGGAGTGTTGCGGTAAAAATAGCAGGGATGTGTCAACATGATATCCTGCTGCTTAACGATCACCTAATATCCTGTGCATACATTGGCGTAGATTGAGTGTATTATTGGCAGGTAGAAAAGTGTGCGTTATATACATTCAGAATGCTGTGTGTGTTGTGTGTATTACGCGGCCCGGGAAACGTTGATCACGCCAGCCGCTATCCGGGAATTTGACTGCTTGTTCTCCTGTCAAACTTCATTTCACAATCACTTTGTAATCGATATGGATACTTGATGTCTTACGTAACGCGTGCTGCGCCGGCGTGCTGGCTGTGCTGTTTAACGCGGGCCCGAGCCGCGCGCGCGCAACGCGCCGGCTCTCTATGGGAAAAAGTGCAACACATTTCTTTTGATTAACCAGCTTAGCACTGACAGGGCATTTGATTTATTTCCACCCGACTACCGAAAAAAAAACTACAGCGCCGATATCGCCAATTACTTTGCACTGCGTCTGTATTCCTTTCCAATGGCAAAATCGTAAGGTGTCAAGAATACACATCACCGATAAAACATTACACAGCAGCGGATATTTTAATAAATTATCGGGTATCGATTTGCGGGTGTCCCTCTTCCCGGGGACGAATTGCTGGAATTGTCTTATAGATCCATCTCGTAGATTAGCCGCATATCTGTATACATTTTCCCCGGCGTGTCGGTTATGATGATGGCGTGTAGACGCAGACCCCAGCTGTGTTGCGGAGACTGGAGACACACTGTGGTCCCCGCAGTATCTGAAGGTTACCATCAGACTGCGCGGCGCGCGCACGACTGCCACTGTTGCCATTGCCCGGCGTTTGACCTTCGTTCGAAGGACACTCCGTAGCTGAGGTGTATTATGTGTATACATGTATACAGACAAACCGCCGCCGCCACACGTTTAACCCAGACGCTTTGCGCCACTCTCTCACACCGATACATCATAATGTCCGGCTTTTCAAATGTCAAGGAACTTTGTCATTTTCTTGTATCGTTTCTATGCGAGCGCCGCCGTTACGTAAGCGCCATAACAATATCTACTATGTAGGACCAAAACCGTGAAAATTTGCCAGTTAAAAAATATAATAAAATAGCAGACAGTGGGCGAAGCGCTTTTTTGCGCGATATGCGTGAACATCTAACATTTTTTAGTCCAACATTGTGTTGTGGGTATGTATGCTGATCACGGCGCAGTCGGGCAACGCAGCGCCCGGGAATCTCAGTAAAGCTCCCCGTTTAATCCTAATCAGATCTCTCTGTGCCTGCCCCTGGTGGCGGGGACGTGGGGGCGGATAGTTTCGGACAACACGGCCGGGAAAAATTAATTCCACGGGTGTCAGTCAACACACTGCTTATCATCTTGCGGGTATACGGCCACACCATGCCACGGCCCGGCTCGTTTCTGCGCGCACCGGATCGCGATGCTTGTCGCTGTGTCAGGAGGGATAGATGTGTGTGTGGGCCTGCGCGGTCTTCTCTGTTTCTCTCTCTCGTTTTTCTCTCTCGTGCAATCGCGTCGTCTTATCGCCAGCACTTATACTAAACAGATTCCACATTTGCCGGAATAAATGCTCCCATCGAACCCCGGTCAAAACTGGATGTTCCCGCAGTTTTGTCTTAATGAAGTCGATCTGGTATACAGTGGGCAGTAACAGCTACGTATATCACGTGTTTATACCAAAAAAATTTTAGCAAATTCGTTGCAGCGAATGCACAAAAGTGTGATATATTTAAAACCTGTATTTTCGCTATAAGGTTTCGTGGAATTAACAGGAGTTCTCTTTGTAAAAAAAGCTGTGTGTACGTTGTACCTGTGTAAAAAAGAGGTTAACGTTCTTTTGAAAAATTTAGTGATGGTTTTGTCAAAGATACGCTACATTACAGCCGCACCCGCAGTGCCGAAGTTGATATAGTATTATAGACGCAGTGTGCTACAAGTTTTTGGGATAATTACATTAACGATGCCAGATGAGATCGGCGGCGGGCCCGCAGCGCTGTACATGCGGATTTTTTCCCCTCCATCGACGACTGACTGCAGCCAACAGCAGCAGCAGCAGCGTGCCGCCCTGCAGCCGCAGCGATTTTTCTGGCAAGTGATTTTCAGCGGATTGACTTGTCGATAATATTGGACACGGTTGGGCAGGATTGTGGCCCAAGCCTGTGCGCGGAATAGGAAAAGCACTGCTTGTAAGGTATCTGGCATTCCAAGACATTGTTCTATCATGTCAGTCGTACAACTGACCAAAAACTGAATGGTCAAGCCGGCGTCCACTTTGGTCGCTCGATGAAAGCGGTTTTTTTAGTGTTTTCCTAAAAAAAAACGGTCTTTGTAGAACTAAAAAAACCAGTCGGCCAGTGGTTAAAAAAATACAATAACAAAAATCAAAAAACATTGTGCAGTGGATGCACAGTCGCCAAAGGGTTCGAACAGAGAGGCGCTTGTTGGCGCAGAGGCCTTAAAACGAGTATTTACAGATACTGTTTTGTACGCTTTTTTTATGAGCGCTAAAACGAGTTGCCTGCTTATCTAGTCCTATATTGTACGCTTCCTTATGAACGCAGAATTACTTTGTTGCGCTTTAAGCATCAATATGAGGCGGAAACGGAATATTGTCCTGAACAGTGCATAGTATACGGATCACTATACGCATTCCCAGTGCGTTCAGTCAGGAATCCTTGGCAGGATTTTCTGTGGGTATATAATATGGACACACGGCGCCCCCGGGCATATCCCGCGATATATATTCCCGCGTCCGCTTAATTGCCGCGCTGCTCGCTCGCGTACCCTGCACCATGGACGCGCCTTAAACGCGGGCGCGCTGCACATTATGGAGCGGGCGTTAAAAGTTCTCCACAATTGAATTTTGCTGGGGGAAAACGCCAACGCTCACTGCTCAGTCCGAGAGAGAGAAATGGAATGAGGGAGAAAAAGTGGTGTGTAACCAAGCATACGCGGACTGCACGGTTTACGGGCTACGGCAGAAAATGCGCCGGTTGAGCCAGCCGGAAGTCGGCTGGATTATGTGCTGGGGCTCATGAAACCCGCGTTTATGACGCTGGAAATGGCCGTGCGAAGAAACGACGACCAGAAACCAATGGAGCTGTTTTTTTGTTCGCTGTAAACAGCTTCATGCTGCTGATATAATATTATGCGATCTTCGCACAGCTTTTATTACGCCGTTTTTTATAAAAGTATACGTGTTTTTTCAGCAGGGTTTAGCGAGGTTTTCTCCACAAATACAGGATGCTATACGGCCGGAAAAAACATATTGCAATTTTTGCATAAAAAGCAGCGCTGCATTTTACGCTGTCCATAACAGCACAGTGCAACGCGCGCGCTTCCCGGGGCATTCCCAGGAGATTGTGACAGGAGATTATGCACCAGCAACTCGACATTCATTTCCGGTTGTTCGTCCTCTTTCCTGGGCCGCAGCGCGCGCCTCGGTATATCTATACTATAGATGCCGGAGCGCAGCCGCACAGCGCAATGAAATTAGTTTACAAGACCGCCGAGAACAACTCCACCACATGTTCTTTTCCAGCCAACACACCAGAGGAAAAAACACTCGGTACACGTACACCACAACGCAATCAGGCCGTGGCTATATTCGGACATAATTCCCCGAAATATTCCCCTTGTGCAAATTGCCCGCGCCGGAAGTGGTGGAGTGCCACGGTGCGGTACAAGGGAAGAAGATCGTACATGCCTATATGTTTATCCCTATAAATATATACACATGAATCATGATTGACGGTTTTATTGCCGGCCGGGCCAGTATATCGCTGCGACCGCAGTCTATATACGCTTGAATGGCCGTTAATTACAGTATCTGATCGCACTTTAACGGGGCCCCCCTCCCCTCACGCGGTGGCTACAGTCGCTGTATGGATGTGTGTGTGCTGCACATGACGGGCTTTTGATATGGGCCCGTGATGATGATGACGAGCCTGCGCGTTGCGGGCTGGAATGATGATGATGATGGGCCAGCTAGAGTGCACTTGATAGGAAATTCATTGTCAAAACAGCAAATTTGCATGCACACTCTGTGTGTGTGTAGACTGTATCGTGTGTATGTGTGGGTAGACGGGAATCAGTCCAGATTGATTTAATGCCGCAACTGGCGCTGAATTGCGCCCCATTCACCAGCTGTACCAGTGTGTATACACACACGATAGATTAGTATCCGCTGTTGTCGTTGTGTCGATGCCGGGTATACGAAACAGGAAGAACACACCCGATGGTGGAGAGGCAGCGGAGGGAACGGTGGTTTTTTTGCTTGTACGGGGACATAGCATGCAGAGACCAAACAGAATTTTTTTCGCCGGCGTTGAGAACGATGCCGCGTGCTTTACTTTCGCATCGACTGGCAGCGCTGATTAAATATTTTCATCCGCTCTTGTCGACTACCAGTATAAACGTTGTTTTCACTATTCACCACTAATTTCGAAAATACTAAAATCCCGATACACGAAATGCCCCAATTTTCCTGATCAAAAAATTGTTTCGAAACAGAGATGTCTTTTAAATTGTTTCTACGTATTACAAAGAAATTTGGCGGGCCGGTTTTGGCATGTGTTTTCTGCAATCAGAACTTCGAGATCGTCGCGTTCCTCGTTCGCATAATCAAAAATAAAACTTTCATATGATACTCGACTTAAAGCAGAATCTAAAATCTTTTGACAAGTTTGCAGTGATGTAGACAGGAACAATGATCCTCCTGTCTAGAAAAGCGGCGCCAGTTCTAAGCGGTCGACACGTAGGCGATACAGACGTAATTGGCAGTTGACATTTTCACGATGCAATAAAATACTCATGCACCAAACTAAATATCTACTGCTTCACACTGTAAATCCACCAATTACACCAGTGTGTCTTGCAGATTGGGTACTACGCAGTCCGGGATCTCCCTGTTTATCCTGCAACCCACAGCGTCGTACCGTTCCTCAGCCCAGCCCATCCTGGCGGGCATCGCACTGCGCCCGGCGTGGCTGTCAATGCCGGCACCTGGCCGGATGATTGCCGGCGTCGTGCTCCTGCCTGTCGTCTGAGAGCGCGTGGTGCTGCACCGCCCCCGCCCGCGGAATCGGCTGCACAAGAACCATGTCCGATGGCCTGCAGGCGCGCCCCCAGTCCGCCGCCGCCGCCGTCAACGCCACCGAAGATATCGGCATCAGTGATCTGCTCTTCCTGGAGCCGCTAACCGAGCAGTCCTTCATCGACAATCTCCGTCGCCGCTTCCATGCTGATAAGATTTATGTAAGTTAGACCATTCATGCCACGCCTTACGCGTAATGCAGTCAGGCGCAGCAGCCCGTGCTCGCCCAACCGCGGCCGAGCACGTGCTCGTATAATGGCTGCTCCCAAAAATAATCCCGGTAATCATATTTTCGCTTTTGGGCACAGTGTAGAGGAATCTTTTCGGGCTGCTTTTTAGTCGATACTATGTGAGGGCTTTTTAGTCGATACTGTTTGAGCATCCCAACTTTGTTGAGCGTTACGCATTTTTTGAAAAGAAGTGAGCCGGTACATAGTAGCAAATTCGCGTACATGCAGGGAAGCTTCGTTTTCGCGCGCATCTAAATACTTTTTTGCCTCGATTTTTGATTCAGTAGCCAAATGATTTGTAGACAACCATTTGTAGACAACCATTTGTAGACAACCATTGGCGTGAAAACCATTTTTGTGGGCAACATTTTTGTTGCCGAGTTAGAGTTCACCGATGGTCGTTAGTATACCGGATCAAAATTTTGTTTGTAGCGGTTTTTTGTAGGATTTAAAATAAATCTTAAAGATTTTAACAACCCTGAAATACGTAAAAAAATAGTCGGAGCCTTGTTGCTTGTTATAAAAAGAGATTTGTTGCCTTGCCTTTGTATTCGATACTTTCTGTGCGTATGCCGGTATGCGCAATGACCAGATTACTGGGCTTTTCCATAGAAAAGAAAAGGATTAACCGCTTTTCATTCACATCCCAAAAAAAGTCACTTTCCACACTTCGCTAATCGTGCACGCATGAGAAACCCGGGGAATAATACCCGGCCCGACAAAAGCAGCGCCATAAACGGCCCGGAAAGCCGTGGCGCGAACCATTACCAAACCGCGCATCAGTCTCTCGCTTGGTCGTTCGCGGTGACAGTGTGTGTGTATGCGGCCATCACCGCGTAACTAAGAGCGTTAATGGTCAGCACGCCGTTAATGACACCATTGCCGCCTTTCCGTCCCCCTCGGCGACCATTCAGCGCGCGCTGGTTTCTCCCAACCGCGGGCGTAGGTTCCTTCGTACAGTATATGACAAATCTATTCCGGAACACGCGGACGGAAGTATAGCATGCTGGGCCGCTCCTAATGGACGCCACGTGTGTGCACTAGAAATTGAAGAATTAGCGTGTCTGCGCTGTCTCTCTCTCCCGCTCTCTTCCTCTCTCGTGTCTTTCACTCAGAGTCTCTCACACACATGCACTGCCATTTTTAGCCAATGTCAGCGCAAGGCTATATATGTGCCAGCTGTCGTGGAATCGGCGAAATGTATGAATGTACATGTGAGAGAGTGCGCCGCTCCCTAAAAACCACCCAGGGTTCCTCACGTGAGCCAGCCACATCTTGTGAATGAACCGCTGAGATATTTCGCGGTACTCTGGCGACCAGCCAAACGTGTGTGTGCTGTCGTTTTCTTAATGACCTTTTTTGGCCAACCGGCAAGCGGGTTGTGATTGACAGGTCGTTGGTTGGCGCACGAGAGAGAGAGAAAGTACCAGGCATCAAAGATCTCTGTGTGTTTGCACACCATGCCCCGCAATATTTGGCAGCGGGAGTGAGAGTGTGTGTCACGTGAGGCAATGGAACGAGAGAGCAAGGAGAAACATTGACAGGGACGGGATTATTTCCGGTAGAGTGCCGGCCGCCGTTCGGGTTTGTTCGGGCAGAAAATTGGCCGAGGAGAAATCTGCGCCTGATTGAACGAATTAATATACACTTATACAGCCCGGTTATTGGGCAAACGGCCGCGGCAAAACCTTAGAGATGCCCATTAACGGGCAAATGTTTAGCGAGAGAAATTTCCAGGGTTTTCGTGCTGCGATAAAGCGTACAGTTGCCAACGTCATTTTCTGTCCACAGCGCAGCAATTTTTGCTGGCTTCTCAGAGAACTTTTTTCTCCGAAAGACATTTTTTCTTGGGCACAGTTAGCCTGATAGTTCGATCGTCATTCCTAAATTTTTTTATTACTGCTGTAATTTGTCGTCAGCGTAGGCAGCGTGTTTTTCGTCAGAACACGACAAGCGCTAACACAATTTCGCCGGGTGCTTTTAGCTATGTAAATATTCCGTGTTGTCAGAAATAAATACACTGCACATGTGTGTGGCTTTATGTAACAAGTTTTCCCTTCCACGTTCCCCGTTAATAACACGCACATGAAATGTCGGTGGTTGGCAAGTGGCAGAAAATATCCCACGAAATGACCTTGCGTGTTTTGCCCGCACGCCACCAACACAGGATAATTCTCCACGGCAGCGTTTTGCACGTCACTCTGTGCACATCCACGAAAAAGCCGGGATTGCAGGGAGTATGCAGCGGACAAGTGGCGAAGGGGGAGAGTTAATCAAATTTTGTATTTGTAGAGAAAATATTATTCTTTGGCATTTGAACGATTCCTTATTGATCTCCCCCTTTTGCTGTCTCGTTCCTGCTGCCGGTTCTCGGGCGTCTCTCTCTCTCTCGCTTCCTCTCTCGCTCCGGCTTTTTCTGTCGCGTCTGCATGGATAAATAATGTTGGGGGGGTTACCAGAGCTCTTCAGAAACTGTACACACAAACGCACACTATCCATGTCCACACCCGGCATAAAGCGCGGATCGAAGACTGATCGCTTTTGGCCGTTTATGCCCGGAAAATTGTCCGTCTTCAAAACCCTCTGAATTTTTAATTTATTATGTAGAAACTGAACGAATTTTTTTTGTGGGAAATTCTTCGATATAAAGCTCAAGATTTTTTATGAAAATTAATTACGCCCGTGGTGAGCGGGCGTGGGATGATAAATGGTCGCGATCAGCGCCGCCAGAAATCCGTGAAGAATATTCACGGTCGACGCCGGATATGATTGCCCCAGCTTTTCCGGCGGCGGCGGAATGTTGGCCCAATAATGTGTCAGCTGTAATTAACTATCCGGCTGCGATTTAGTTTCTCCGTGTTGGTAATGACGGTGCGGCCTTTACAAGCCGGCAACGATGAGTAATTGTCCTATCAACAGCCAAATAGACATTTATAATCGCTTGCAAAATTACGTACTTTTAAAAACAAAAAATGACGGTACTTATAAAAAATTGCAAATGAAAATGCTCAACGCAAGATGATAAACGTTATTGAGCTATTGTCAGCCATGACGCAGTCATGGCGGGATTTATTTGGGAAATGGATCGTTTGTATTTACACTCCGGGTTTGGTTTGCAGACGTCGATGGGCAACCTGATTCTGTCGCTTAATCCGTACCGGCCCTTGAACCTCTATGATGAACAGACGCTCAGGCTGTACCGGCATCAGCGCATCACCGATCTGCCACCGCACATGTATGCCATTATTATCATCGATTATCCAATTTAACTGGACTTCGATGTTAAACAAAGTTTACTGGATTTGGTTTGTAGTTTTGGGGTGGCCGGTGCGGCATACCGCGAGCTCACTCTGCATGGCCTTAATCAAGCGGTACTCCTTACCGGAGAAAGCGGCTCGGGAAAGACAGGTAAAGGATCTTGTAGAAAAAACTTTTACTACTTGTTGAATTTGGCAGTTTCAGTTTTGAATAATTTCTATAATTTTAAATACTTTTTTGCAAAATTTTTCGCGGACCGGCTTACTACCTTTACTTTCGTGCTCTCCGTGTATCAAAAACAATCTTTTAATTTACGTACAATTCAAACGTCATATCAACATGATTCCGTAATCGCTTGTTTGAAATGACGAAAATCGGTGTTTTAATAAAACAGATTTTTATTCATTCAGTTATAATGCTTGTGTTTCTTAGCTAAAACGGTACGTTATCTACAGAAAACACGAAGCTCATCATCCATACGGTGGCGTCGCTGGCATCCAATACGAAGGAGGCGGAGAAGGTCACTAATCGCTTGCTGCAGTTCAACCAAGTACTCGAAGGTAATTACAGTGCGGTCAACTAGCGCCACTTAACCGGGGCTCGACAAAGGCCAATCTGTTGTTTACAGCGTTCGGGAATGCCAAGACGGAGAAGAACGACAACGCTTCGAGATTTGTAAGTTGCAATCTGACGTCAATGCGAAAGTGTGCTTTCATGACAATTATAAACACTGCGCGATGTTCTCCTGTTTAGGGAAAATACATCGATATTGCCTTTGATTCTCATGGTGATACGTTAGGAGCCAATTTAACTGCTTGTACGTACCAAAAAAATGCGATTTTATGTGAACATTATAAGCGTTAAATTTGCTGTTTATCTGCATTGCAGATCAATTGGATAAGGTAAGCGTCGTAGATTCGTGGAGCTGTATATCGGAGATTTACTGAGAGATTTGTATGGTGTCGCTTGCAGTCGCGCGTAATCTTCCAGAATCCGCGTGAGCGGAATTTCCATGTCTTCTACCAAATCCTTGCCGGTGCAGATGTACATTTACTCAGTCAGTCTCCGCTTATTCGCTCTTTCCACTGTATTCCTCGTTGCACTGTTAACCGTTATTTGTTTCTTTTTCGCTCTACAGAAGCTTTAAAACTACAACGAAACGTTGAGAAATACAGTATTCTCCGCTTCAGCGGGGTATATAAACTTGAGGGCCTTGATGAGAAGAGAGAATTTGTGATTACAAAGGTAACAGCTCGCTACACTATACATGATCCAGCCAATCAGAAGCGTTCGGTACGGTAACAGCATGCGTTGTGCTTGAACAGGAAGCCTTGGAGATCCTCGGATTCTCAGCTGCCGAATGCCAGTGTGTCTTTCAGATTGTTGCCGCGGTATTAAAACTAGGCAACATCCAGTTCCTGCCCAAGACCAATGTCGATGGGACGGAATCTGCCACAATGCTCAATGAACACGGTAAAATAGTGCTTTGAGCAGTCGCAAATGCAATACAGCGTTTACAAGGTCTCCATTGTACTGCTACTTAAATCCGAAAGTCACAAGTCTGAAAAAAGTTTACTGTTTTCACATTTTTTCTATTATACGTATAATCGCGTGCGAGTCACAGTGTTGCCTTGTGCTTGACACTAACAAGTGACGTATATCGCTTTGTCGGTGGGACTAAATTACTTATGTAAAACGCTTGTAATCTTCAATAGAACGCTGTTTCTCACATGTTTGATTACCGGGCTTGACCTTTATAGAAGCGGGAGATGTCGCCGAATTACTGGAGTGTCCTGATGTCAAATCACTTGTACGTGTGCTGAACAAGGGATCCATTCAGTTGCGCGACGAACAGATGGAGATGACACTCAGCGCACAAGAGGTACGGATTCACCATCAACATTTCTGTTTTTTGCGGTGTACGGTACATACAATATTTGGTATTCTAAAAAACCGCTGCTCCGTGCAGGCCAGCGCACTGCGGGATCAGTTGTGTAAAGCCCTCTACAACCGCCTGGTAACGTGGATCATCTCCAAAATCAACAGTGGCCTTTCATACCTTAGCTCAAGCAGTCGCTCGCTCTACGGCGTACTGGATATGTACGGATTCGAGAATCTGGAAGTACGTTGGCACGCGCTGTTGTATTCGTATATGGTTGCTGATTGGTGGGTTGCCGGTGTGTTTGCAGCACAATGGATTCGAGCAGTTCCTCATCAACTACGCATCCGAGAAGCTGCACTGTTTCGTTATGGATCTGGTACTGAAATACGAACAAGAGGAATACATTCGGGAGGGGTTGCCCTGGAATAATGTGCCCTATACAACGAATAGCGAAGTTTGTGATATCATAGAAAAGGTACGTGGAAAAGGTAGTAAAGAAAAAGTTTGTGATATCATAGAAATAAAGGTTGTTCGAAAATCGCAGCGGTTGAATTATTGTTAATTTTGTCTGATACACGTAGTTTCTCAAATAAAGCTCAAACATGTATCCAAAGCTCACCGTAAATAAAGCCGGCTTATTGAGAGGCGTTTTAAATCTTCCTAATAACCGTTAAACCGCCTTTTTAACTGGTTAGCTTGATCATTCAAGCAACTGCAACGTAAAACTAAAAACAATCTTCTAACACATTTTGCGCAAATAAAAGCTTCTGTTTCTGAAACCAGCGCTGGCATTGTATGCGAGTTTAATGTGCTCTTGCACAGTATTTGCTGATTTTATTAAAGCTGTAGGCTGTGGAGTGACTTTACATGAATGCTTTGATCTTTCACTGGGGTGACGATTATCTAATAGCATCGGTGATAATTAGGGCCATCACAGCCTGTTAGCCATCCTGGACGAAGTGTGTCTGCGCGAGGACTCCGTCAGTGATGAGCACCTCCTGCACAAGTTCACCCGTCATCAGGGCGCCGAGTCGGTCTTTCAGCCGCCCCAGGAGCGCGCCGGCAACAACGTTCCCATGGACCAATTCAAGATTCGCCATTTTGCCGGCACCGTCACCTACCATTCGCGGGGTTTTGCGGAGAAGAACCTGGATATCCTGCCGCGCAGTGTCGCCGAGGTTATGCACTCGTGCCGGATGCCGTTGGTTAAGGAGCTCTTTCCCGACGGTAATGCTGGATCAAAGATAAATCTAGCAACGCTGTAAACAATTGGTTTGTCTTATAGGAAATCCAGCGCGGACCATTGCCAAGCGGCCACTGACTATGGCGGCCAGCCTACGCGTACAGTTATCCTAAAGGTTTGCGTTGAAAAGCTTTTGCCTAGAAGAAACTGTGTTGCAGGCTTCCTTGTCGGCATTGCTCAGTGGACTGTCCGGGAGGAGTTTCACGCTCATCAAATGTATTAAACCCAACGACAGTAAACGACCGGGGTTTTTCGATGAAGAACGCGTCAAACACCAAGTTCGCTACATGAGGTACCATTATTGCCTGTTTCCTGCAGTCTAGAACAGCAAAATTTTTAAAAAAACACGTTCAGCTGAGAAGTGCAGAGTTGTAACCGATTTCTGAGTACAGTTATACAAGCTGCAATATATAAGTATAAAATTAAAAATAGAAGTCATTTTATAAAATTAAAAAAATTCCGAACCTTTTTCGATTGGAATTATCGACCATACATACAATTGCGCGGGTATGCCTGTAGATTGGTGGATCAAGTGCAGGTGCGGCGTGCCGGCTACGCCTACCGTGATACCTTCGAGAATTTCATGCGCCACTACAAGATGCTGACGTCGTTAACATGGCCACTGTATCCCGGTGATGCCAAGGATGGTGTGCGGCTGATTCTCTTAACGCTGGCCATGAACAAGATGGAATACATTATCGGCAGGACCAAAGTGTACATCAAATTTTATGAAACGGTTAGTGAAATTTGGATAGTTACATTCTGTTTCACTGGGAAACAATTCGACGGCTTACCGGATGGATGTTTTTGTGGGCAGATAAACCGGTTGGATGATCTCAGGCGCGCGGCCTTACAGGATGTGGCAGTATTGATACAAAAGTCTTTCCGTGGGTATCGCACACGGAAACATCTCAAGCTCATGGCCATTAACTCAGCACCCAGTTCCAGTCAAAGCTCAAAGGACAGCGGCCGCCGCGGGGAGAGACTGTCCAAACTATTGCTCCGGTCGCTCTGCAATGACGTGAGCATCTGTACATTTTGCATTCGTATGAGTTGGTGTTTGTATTGCATTGCATTATGATGTTTGTATTGCATTTTCCGAGGGCACACAGAAAAGTAATCTTAATTCGTTTGCCATAATGTCCGGCTGAACCATGCTTACCCTACAAAAAAAAATCTAAAGACTACGATAGTGCACTAGTCTACTGCGAGCGCTAAATTAAAACAGCGCAAAAAATCTGAGCTGTCAATGACTTTGCACAATTGGTGCCAATATGTTCAGTTAAGTAATGTTATGGGCTTTGTTAATTTTAATGAGTAATGACTATTTTCTTTCGTCCCGCAGTCAGTAATTTCTATATCTGTAGGATTATAATACTGACGGCTTTATTTAAGTCTGAAAATACAATATAATTGGGCATAATGACATTACAATAGTTGCAAAACGTAACCACTAACCACATTTAGCGGTCCGTAGGCTATTTTTCGGCGGACAAATACTCGTGCAAACCCGTCCGTATAATTTTTTATCGTTTTGTTGTTTTCTGGTAATCATTTTTTTAAATTGTTTAATAATGGTGTTTCGTCTCCCTGCGGTTTGTTGGTAAATTTTTTTTGCTTATCCAGTTCATTTATGCGCAGATTAACCTAAACCGTGCTGATATGTACCGTCGCTTTAGGAAAATGCAAGAAGTGGCTGCGAAGAACAGATAAAGGACATTTTCGATTAGCGCTAAATACCGACATCCCAAAATGCGCTTCGGTTGACGCAACGTAAAACTAATAATTATAATAAGCGCGTGTTATAACGGCAGCCGACAAGCCAACAATCAACAGTTTATCGAAGCTAAATTATTAATATATGCGCTTACGTAATACCAAAGCTGAAATACTGCACCTCAAATATAATTATCAAAATATGGTACAAATATGCATAACTGTAGTAGTGTGGACACTTGTTCTCGACAACCTATCAGTCGTAATTAAAAGTGTTATATCTACGAGTGTCTTCTTTTTTTGGCTCAGCAACACTCGTCGGTGTCTTCCTCCATGGACTCCTCCCAGTCGGTCCCGTACACGCCCATCTGCAACAACATCAGCCAGTACCCCTCGGCCATGCCCTTCACCATCACCCCCACCACCATCGCCACCTCCGCCATCCACACCGCCACCATCGGCACCTCCACCTCGGCTGGCCCGAGTGCCGTGTCGGTGGCCACCTCGCCGCATCCTCCGCCCCCCACCGCGGCCGCCATCCTCTCCGCCGTCGTGGCCGCCACCACCGCCGCCCCAGCCCCCTTCACCCCGGTGGCCTTCGTCAATCCCACGCCACCACCGCCCGTGCCGCCCAAGCCCAAGATCACCCCGTCGATGAGCATTAATAGCATTCCACGGAGTAAACCACCCCCGCCCATGAGGCGGACCGCCACCATCGGCAACTGCGTTGACCGTCGGCTGGATCCCAACGAGGCCGCCCGCCGCATCACGGAGTGCTGCCGAAATTATCATGTAAGCACGCTGTATACAGCAACACTGGTTGGATGTTTTTTAAACATTATTTAATGTAATTTCATTTGTTTTGCTTTTAATTACCAGATTTTTGAAGTTTATTATTCAGAAATTATAGAAATAAGAGTCATCGATATTCGATATATCTAGTTATGGTTTGACTAAAAAAACGAGGTTTAGAAAGAAAAAAGTGACCACGGTGGGAGTTGAACCCACAATCTCCTGATTCGTAGTCAGGCGCCTTAACCATTGGGCCACGCGGCCTATCTTGCTGTACATTCGTGTTGTGTTTACCGTTTGGTGTGCGATGCGCTGGCTTGAATGTGTAGTTTATCAGCATATCAATCGACAATCTGGACAGCTCCATTTAACCGCGTAAATCGCATTTCCATACAGTAATATTATTATGTAACTTGAATTAAATAATGGGTCAGCCTGGATGGCATAAAATTTAAGCACAATGTTTGTACTTTTCATCACTAAGTAATGATTTTTGCGTTACAACTGTATATGCCTTGGATTCGATAGTTCGAATCTGTACGGTAGGGAGCGTTTTTCTCTTAAATGATATACAATCAACTTAAGACAATGGAAATCTTCTAAATTAATGTTAACAAGGTTTTCAACAGAAGTCGGATATTTTCATGAAAATTTAGTGGGGTTTGGGCACCGTAGTTTAGTAACAATAATAACATCTGCTATGATGTTTATTGTGAAGGCTGATGAAATCTTTCGTTATCCTTGCACGATTAGTTGATTAGTGACTGGTGGATTACCATTATACGTACACGATCAGCAGTTTAATTTAAAGAATTAATGCTGAGCTGGGATATGGGCAACGTTTGAAGCATTTATCCGTTTTTCTGGTTTGTAGTACTTACAGCGCTGCAAAGTAAGTACTGCTATAATTATGAGCACATGTGGTACTAACCGAACGTAGTGTAGAGGCATGCTTCACAAGGACACTATCCATGTACATGTACACGCACACCAGTGTCAGGAATCAACTGCTGTAAATTAACTTACGACCAGTTAGTTATTACTTTTTTTTTAATCCATCAGCGTATAAACGAGTGGTAATTGTTCTTTACAGCTCTATATTATGAACTTTGGGAAGTTTATTTCAAAGTGCTCATAAAAAAACAGTTAGTAAATGTCTAAACGTACATGCGTGTTATTAGCGTGTACATATGCATACCCGATAGCAACTATCAATTATCACAACAGAGCAGGTTTACATTTTGGAGCTGTTCTCCTCTTTGCAAAATGGCTTTTGCAAATATTGCTTTGTACTCTGTAGCTTATATAAAATACAGAATACTTTGTAGCTTATAAAAATTAGGAAATGCAGCTATAAGTCAGCTTGCAGAGCGCCATAATAATTAAAACCCGGGAAATATCATCGTAAAATGTTTATAAACTATCTTAAAACCGTGGCAATATATTGAAAAAATCACGAAGTTGCTACGTATAAATGCATGTCATTTGCAGCGCTACAAATTCCTGCTCTTCCTGCTCCGACATCTGCCATCCATGTCGCCCGTGGATCAGCGCTGGCCGCCCAGTCCGTCCTTTCTTATGATGACCAATCTGATACTCAGGGATACTTTCCATCGATGGCGGGTAATCATCATTTACTTAATCTTTTTCAGTAAAAGTTTTCAACTTCTATCTAAATTCAACTTTACATTCAGATACATAATTTACAAAGCACAAAATAACCAGTATAAATCGTCCGCATAATACGAGCATGTACTCTGTAGAGCAAAAGCCGCGCGGTGGAAACAGTCTTTTATTTCGATTATTAATAAATTGTATAGTAGCGTATTTTTTTCGTATTATTAACGTAGTGTCGGAAGTATCGTCTGCGCTTCGATCAGACATCCATCAGTCGGATGCGGGAGAAAGTGGCTGCCAGTTCCATCTTCCTGGGCAAAAAGATCACCTATCCGAAAACGTAAGTGTCAACCGGTAACCTTTCCCAAGATAGCCGATGTAGCGGATTGTCTGATATCGTTAATAAGTTGCTGCAATTTACAGGGTTCCGCATCCCTTTCGCGGTGACTATGTGCGTTTGCGGCAGAATGTCAAATGGCGGAAATTAGCGGCGGATACCAACGATCAATACGTGGTCTTTGCGGATATTATGCCCAAGATCAACCGGACAACCGGACGTGTGAGTCAAATGGCTAACATAAACACGAACTACCGGAAATTATCCAGCTAATAAATTCTGAGTCGAAGGCGCATAAATTGCATAATCAAATTCCAAAGAAAATGCGTAGAATTTATTTAACCGTCGGGGCATTCGGAGAGTGATTCAGTAAATAAATACAAACTAAAACATATAGAATTTATTTTGTAACCGAGCTAACGGAAGTTACCCAGTTAATAAATTCCAAATAAAGTTCATATAATTTTAATTTGCAGTCGTGTTATCCGGAAATTATCTGGCAAATAAATTGCGAATAAAATGTGTACAGTTTATGTTCTCGTACAACCGAACTATTATTTAGTAATGAATTCTAAATACAACCCTTTATTAATTTGTGCAGCCGAGCTATGTGCTCTCCGTGATATCCACCAAAGCCTTCCTGGTCATCGACCAGCGGACTATGATCGTCAAATATCGCATCCAGGCCGGCGATATTGCCCGGATATCCGTCAGTCCCTATGCGGATGATATAGTGGTCATCCACTTGAAACCGGTACCGGCTTCGTTGGATTTAAAGAACCAGTAGATTAAATACAGATAGAATTTGCATAATAAGGCCAAATATTTTCAGGGAGAACTGTTTAAGCGCAAAGGGGATTTCATGTTCCAGTGCGCCCATGTGATTGAAATGGTGACCAAATTGTGCCTGGTTGTGCAGAATATCACGCAGAAACCGCCGGAAATTATGATAGCGCCCGAGTACGTACCACGTATTCTAATAAATCATGCTCAAATAATTCATAAAATAACATTAAGTTATTTTAATATCGTAATAATAGTACAAAAGAATTATATTCACAATTGTTACAATAATATTGTTAATTTAAAAAACAAATCATAATATTCATTATTCCCATAAATATTAATAATAATATGGGAATGATGAATTATTAACATGCACATAATTATGTGCATGTTAATATTCTATACTAATATTATTTCGGAAAATAAGGACAAAACTTAATGTGTTATCTAATAAATTATCTTTAGCATGTTACAAGTGCATATTGTGAAAATAAATGCTGTAATTAAATATTTATTAAACGGTAGGGAGAATCAGTCCCAAAAAGTGCTAGTAGGTAGTCCTGAATTTTTTTAGTTTATTTATTGGTTTTGAAGCAGTTTTCCCAAACCGATTGGAAATAAAGTACTACATTGCTGAAATTCGGATTATTTTAATTAATGTGTATTAATGCAGGCATCTTTTTTCGTATTAAAGCTGGCTATCGGTGAATAAAAAACAATGCTTTTATTTAGGTTTCCTGTGTACTTCGGCAGCAGTATGCTGTTAGTGCATTTTGACGCCAATGCCTCACAGGGCACACCCGACATGACGCCGGACGTCACCCCGCCGGGCTCGGTGAAAGTCGCCCGGAAGAACAACCGCATGGAGATCTCTCTCAGTCTGGACAAGAGCGGCTAAAGAAAGGCAATACATATCGGCGGCGTCTTGACCGAAAACATGCAGGCAGTTGGCGGTCGATAGTCCGGGCAACACTAAACAATAATGCTGATTCGCACACGTTCATATTTTCGTACCGGTTTGTTTAGGCTTTCGAGAAATCCACAGGCTTCCCTAAGGTTGCCATTTCTGGCGCGGATAACGGCCGCATTTAATGTATTGTCGTTTTCCAGCCGTATTTATGACGGTTAGCAGAGAGATTATTGAAGTTATTTGGAGCTAAAATAATTATTGTTGTTTTTCTTTATTTGTACGGTTTTTTGACTAATAAAGAGATTTATCGCGAATATTACAGCTTTACAAGCATTCCACTACAGTAGTTGTTGACAACCCCAAATGTTTACTAAACTATACAGCTGGGCGGTCACTATACGTAATAATTATTACTGTGGTCACTTTATGATTATGATGTAATCGTCGGCCCATCAGATTACACGCGCATAAAAAAACAGCTTCGACTTGCCTTCGCGTTTCTGATGATCTGCGGGCGCACATAAAAACCTAAAAAGTAGTAACTTAAACTACCTCTCTGGCATTCACTAACTGCGAGGAGAAAACAGTCACGTACTTCCTCGGATTCTTCGAACCGCACGCTCCCGGGCCATCCAGCTTCCGGTTTCAGTGGTGACTAGTGTTGGTACCAACCGCGTACCGGGACGGAGAGAGCACGCTTTATTTTGGCATGAATTCGGCATCCGTTTCACTGGTATCCGCTCCTGGGCGGTTTAGACGCCGGATTTTGCTTATCAATCGGTCCAGTTGGGCGCGGTCGCCGTTGCATTTCGACAGATCGGCCTGGTGACGGCGGACAACCGCCTTTGGGGCATTTTCCTGAAAACGATCTCGGCCCTGTTCACAGCCCTCCCACCGGCCACATTTTAGGTCGGGATTCGGTCGTGGAGGCTGAGCCACCTGCGGCATCGAGTGTGCCGCAGGGGCAGGTAGTCCGGGGTTCCCATCTTGTTCTCCGTTGAGCTGACGATTTGCTTTTCCGCTACGATCCGTTTCCGCTCCCTGCCGTAAAATGTTGACATCGGTGATGCTTTCGGGACGGGTTTGGTTTTCGGGAAGAGTGTGGGAAGAAATCCCAGAGAGTTTGGGAAGAAGTCCCCGAGAACTGCTAATCCGCCGTGCCGATGGGAAGGCCGTTTAACCCCTAATGGCTCCATCTGGCTTTATCGGCATTAGTATCCGGAGGAATCCCTCCGGACTGGCAGGATGCGCCGCTTCCAGGATACGTCGAGTAGGCGCCTCATGTCGTCAGTTGGTGACGGCGTTTTCTCGTTGCCCGATATTTCGGCCCGAACATCGGCGGTGGCGCCGGAAGTGTCGTTTTCGAGCGGACGGTCTTGATTGGCACAAGGCGATGTTCCCTGTGCTGCTGGGCAATGGTACGTTGACCTGCCTCGACGTACCCTCGTCTTGACCAAGGCAGTCGGTGCTTTCACCGGTGAAATTTTGAATTTGACCGTTAATGTGGGGTTTCGATCGGTGAAATCGGGTTCCGACCCGGTACTGGGTTTCGGGCCAAAGAATTCGGGTTGTTCGCCGTTGACGTCCGCTTAAGGGTCGCCTGTTATGAACATCCGGTTCGGGAGTTACGGTTGTTCGAAAATTCCAAAAAGTTACCAAAATAAGGACATTCAGATGTACCAAAAGTCTCATTACGGACCGATCTCTTTCCGACATTGCACGGTAAATGCGCATAGCCACGAAGAACGCCAGTGTATAAAAATCATTTGGCTACAGAATGTCATAAACCGAAACAAAAATATGTTTGAGAGTGCCCGAAAGTGAAAGTTTCCGTGCATGTGCACGAATTTGGCACCATGTACCGGGCTATTTCCCTTTAGTCAAAAGTTTTAACCGGTTGACCCAAGTTACTAAATATGGACCAGCATGTCGGTAAGAGTATGCTGAAAAGCTGGGTCAAAATTTACGAGAGAAAAGAGTAATACAGTGTACTCCCGAAAACAACAAAATAGACACAAGCCATAAACATGCCAGAGAGCTGGAAATGTAATTTTAATACCAATGATAGGGTAACCGCACTGTTGTATCGCAATAAGGAATGTGTTTTCACTAAAATGGCAAATAGGTGGTCAAACCTGCGCAAAGCGGCAGGCGGTATCAGTCCCGGAAGCAGGCGTGTGGATTCACGCATTGCCGGCAGCTTGCCTCGGTAATCTGTTAGACGACAACGCTTTTCGCATAAGTGTCGCGCTGCGTCTGGGAGCTCCGATCGTCACTCCGCACGTATGCGTTTGTGGTGCGCTGGTCGACGAGTTCGGCCGGCACGGACTTCGTTGTAAGCGGTCTGCCGGAAGATTACCACGACACGACGGAATCAGCGCGGAATTCACTCGGGGCCTGAAATCAACTGGCTTTCCTTCGAGAATGGAACCAAAAGGTCTATCCCTGAAAGATAAGAAGAGGCCGGATGTGATCACCCTCATTCCGTGGAAGCGCGGAAAACCGCTGGCAGTGGATGTGATTTGCGTGGACACGCTGGCGGCCTCGTACATCGACCGCACTTCCGTGAACGCCGGCGCAGCAGCCGAACTTGCTGAAAGAAAGAAACTGGCGAAACACGCATGGATGCAAACAAGATACGATTTTGTTGCTGCAGCCTTCGAAATTTACGGACCTTTTGGAGACGGTACTAAAAAGCTAGTAGAAACGGTTGGAAACGGTATAGCGACTTCAACTGGACAAAAGCGGGCGAAAGAGTTCTTTAAACAGCGAATATCTATGCAAATACAACGGGGAAACGCGATTTGTGTGATGGGTACGATCCCCGATCAGGATAGCATAGAGGAAGTGTTTCTTTTGTAAGCGCCGTTTTGTTGTGGTGCATAGTTTGTACTCGTACCATGATACTTATTAAAAGTTAAATAACAGCTTACAGTTTGGACTGTTAGCCATACGTACACGCTGTAGTTAGCAAGTCAAATTATAGCACTGCATGTTGTAAGCAAATGGTGCAGCCACGCCGGGAGGCACATTGGGAAGGTTTGCAAAGTTTAACGGCAGAGAGCAATCAACATTCAGATAAGGACGGAATTCTCCCTTCACACCAAATCCAGTCGTGCGATAATTCCCAACAATGGCCACTTCGCCGTCGCCTCTGTCTTGCAGAAGATACGGTTTCGTTTTAAGGAAGTTGCGGAGCCACGCGTAGAAGCAGTCACAGTGCAGTCGCCGCATGTGTTCCATATCGGCCTTGCTGGGCAGTGTACGAAGAGACACTGGCCCGGTTTTGCCGTACCACAGTAGATCAGAAAGGCCGCGCTCTAACATTAAACTGCGCAGATTAACCAGATCGGTGAAGGTGTGCGCTTCGATTTCCGCAATCGATGAAGTTATGGCTTCGAACACCCGCAACTGTGGCATCAGGGCGAAATCCCTCTTTTTAATTGTCATATTGTAGCAGTTGCGCATTTCGAGTCGGATGAGGCTAGGCAGCAGACCCACGCTGTACATTTTGTATGTCGCATCGGGCGTGCTGCAGTGTCGGCGCGACAGCTCCACCACTTGCCGCCGAATGGGCTGGAAAACATCAGTGTGCAGAGCGTCTTCTGCGGGGCTGAGTAATTCAGACTGGAGAAGGTCATTACATTCGACGGTGACGGTAACGGCGCGGGTTGGACTTATTGTGCTAATCAAGCGGGTGGCGTTGATGGCATTGGTGCCGGCGATGAAGCGTACAGGAACATATGTTATCCTGCGTGGGTTGAAGCTGGACGTCGCGGTCCCAGGGTCTTGGCACTGGTCTGGTTCCCAGAACGTGATGTCGTGCATCCAGTGGCGGCCATAGGCGGCGCATTCTGCAGCAGTTAGCAAGTCTGTTCGGAAAGGAAAGATGACCGCAGTTGACAACTGGTCATTCGGTGCTGGCAGTGGCTGCGGGCTGCAGTCTGTTTCTAAATCCGTGGAAATTGTTGGCAGTCCTAAAAGTAAAGAATGATGTTCTTCTGATCAAGCTCGAGCATAGCATTTGACAAAACGACACACAATAATGCGTAACCTAAATTTCGACATTTTTTACCAGTCAAGCCGCCGTGGGCTGTTGAAGCTATTCCATGAAATGCAAAAAGAAGAAACACCCAAAAAAGCATTTTTGATTTATTTGAAAAATGCTTATGTAATGCCAATAATGTATTGGAAAATTGTCTGACTCGAAACGCTTTTAACGAGCTGGTACTCCAGCGAAAACCTACAACAAGAAAATCCAAGGTTGCACACTAGTGGCAATTGCGTGTCCGCTAACGGCGTCCAAATTCGCAAGTTCCAGCTATGCGGCTTGTCGAAAGAATGCCGGTTACTCTCTTATCATCGGAAAACATCTTCCTGCGCTTGCATATACCGATTAGATACTATCGTATTTGCCTGGCTTTATTGCTGTGTGCCTGCCAATGTGCTCTTTTGTTGCAAGACGGTTGTAACATAACTGGCGCATGCAGCCGCGGCGGGAAGGTTTACGGGTAAATGGTGTACGAACAAAGAAGCCGCTTAAACCTTGCTGCCGTGCAGATTGGTCTATGCTATCATTGCTATGTAAACCGCGGTAACTCATCAATTCTCTAACCTCCGTCAATCTAATCAGTTCTCCTTGCTTCCCGACAATTTGCGGACCGAGATGTTCCCGTTTAAATACAGTATGGATGGTTTTCTTTTATTTATACTCATCTGATATTGAATACTCGTACATACCTATTTTAACATAGTAGACACAAAAATTGTCCTTAATTCTCATTTGCCGCCCTAGTTACAAATGAAGAAATTAAATGGCTGTATAAACTAAAAAATAATGAACAAGTACTTTTTGTGCAGCGCTACAAATTCCCGCTCTTCCTACTCCGACACCTAAGCCATCCATGCCGCCGGTGGACCAGCGTTGGGCCGCTGGCCGCCCAGTCCGTCCTTTCTTATGATGACCAGTCTGATACTCACACTCAGGGATATTTTCCACCCATGGCGGGTTATAAATCCGATTTTTTATCAAAATATTCTTTCGATTTTCCTTCCACAGATAAGCAGTAATTTCTTCACAACGCTGTAAACGGACACGTAGTCTGTAACGTCAGCTGCGGTGTTCAAACAGTTTTCACGTCGGCTATTCGGTAAAGGTATTTTTTTATTATTACTTAATATATAGTGCCGGAAGTATCGTCTGTGCTTTGATCTGACATCCATCAGTCGGATGCGGGAGAAAGCAGCCGCCAGCTCCATCTTCCTGGGCAAGAAGATCACCTACCCAAAAACGTACGTATAAACCGGTGACCTTTCCCAAGACAGCCGATGTTGCGGGCTGTCTTACTGTATGTAATTTTCAAGTTCCTGCAATTCTACAGGGTTCCGCATCCCTTTCGCGGTGACTACATAGATATCAACTACCAATACGTGGACTTTGTGGATATTATGCCCAGGGTCAAACGCACAACGGGACGTTGCCCGATGCGAAATGCACGGCCTCCGTGTAGCCGCCAGAGACCCTCTCGTTAATAGGCCGCTGGCATGCCTACGGGATGTTCTCCGTGCGGCCACCTGATGCCATCCCAAAGATGGCCGCTTTCTGCCAGCCAGCTGGACGATGCCGGCAAATGTGCAGGCCGACAGAAAGGGTTGTCAGTCCAGCTGGCTGGACACTGAAGAACCTCCACCATGACAATGACAGGCGTCAGCTATCGCGGGACGCGCGTCTAATGTTCGCGCTGTATAACAGAATGCAATGAATTCTTATTAAGCGGTTTGGCCTCGAAAACGAACAAAATCAGCTGCCATTTATCGCGCATCCGAAAAGCATGTACATTTATCAGGTTACAAATTTTTAAGTAATCCATAATTACATACAGCTGATAAAAATTTAATCGACTTCGTGGATATGTGATTAACTAAATGGAGACAATGGCATCACTTCTGTAACTTATGTAGTTGTTTTTAATTCAGAACCCAGGACGAATTGAACTACAAACTACAAGTAGTTTGTTTACTACGTCTTGACGCGGCTACATGTTAATTATGCGTAAATTGCTAATTATGCGTTACATTATACGGCGTACTACAGTTAAGCTAGTATGTACAATACGTACTTGCTTATATCTATATTGCTTAATGTTGACCAGTCTGGTGTAATTAAATTAAAGGCATCATAGAAAGCATGCAAATTTGATTACCACTTACAAAGTTTTTAAGAAATGCCTTTTAATTACGCCAGACTGATTATTACAGTAATTATTTTGAGAAAAAATGTATGCCACAAATCACCAGTTTACTGTCATTAATCTACAGTATAAGGGTAGCCTAAAGTTAACACCACCAGAGGCGTGTATTACCAACATTAAGTGATCAGCCATGCAAAATACGTTTATAATACGTTTGTGATAACATAAATATGTTTAAAATATTGTAAATATTATTTTTATGATATTATTAATTTTATATCGATTACGATACAAACCCGGCATGGACCGCTGCATGTACGCGAATAGTGTGGCGGCGCGCATATTATAATTATGTAACTTGGCGTAACCCATGAATCTGTATATATTTCGCGATACTGATCCGTGGGAGTTTTGGGGGCAAGCTTGTACAGTAAATTTGTTGGTAACATGTTAATTTATTGAAACATAAACTTTGCAGTTTGCTCTTTTATTAAGTTACGTTAACTATTGAGAGGAATACTTTGTCGTTGTGGTAGACGTGGTGTAGTGGCTCGAGCGCTCATAGCACAACCTTTCCGTTAAACCCGTGATGCTAGAAATTACGGGACAATTTTGTACAGTACGCACAATAATTGTGTGTCAGATGTGTGTCATTTGTTTACTACTATAACATTATCGTTCAAAGTGGCAGCAGCGGTTGCCAAAATTAATAATTACAAGCCGCATTTTTGCCTTATCATGACAGTTCCGTACTGCAAATCCCAACCCGCACGCAGCCTTAGGGCTGCAATTTACCTGGTTCTCAGTACATAATATGTATGCGGAATATCAACTGCACCTAACAGGTCTCCGGTCTGTTTCTCTGTAGAAAAACGCCGACAGTTTCCTTTCGTGTATATTTAAGGAAGTATTCGAGGCTGTCATTTATACGTAATTCTTTGTGTATTGCGGTGATATCAACGTCAAATTTGTTTCCTTTGTAAAAATGAGTCGGCAGATACTGGTTTTGTTTCTGTTTTACGCTTTTGTACAAGTCACAGTACAATTAACGTTAACGGGGAGTCATTGTCAGCTCAATGACCAGACGTATTACTGCGAAGTTGCAACCGTAGCTGACCTGTTCAACGCTAGCCTTCTTCCCAAAGAGACTGCGCAGCTGACCCTGGGCAATTTATTTAACAAGTCGTATTTGGAAAATATTCCAGCTTTACCTCATTATCTACATGATATACGCAATCTGTACTTCGAGACCTTCATCTTCAACGACACCGGTATCATCCAGTCATTTCTGATCAATATCAGAAGCACAGTGGTGTCCTTGGCGTTCATATACGGACAGTTTCTGTCACTTAACGCTGGAATGTTTCAGGGTTTTGATCGTTTAGAGGGCTTAGAAGTTATACGTACCGGCTTGGCTCATATTGCCCCGGGATCGTTTGACGGGACGCCGGTGTTAAAATGGCTTAAATTAACCGACAACCAAATGCCGGAATTCGATCTGTCTATCTTACCGGCCACTCTGCAGGTTGGTTTCTGAACTTTCTTCATCAGCGTGTTTTTCCATGTACAAGTACATTTTTTAACAACCCTATAGATAACACTAATGGTCCCATTTAATGGTGTTTACGGTATGAAAACCCTGCAAACAAGCCCGAATACCGGTTTTAAACGTTTCGGCACTGAGGCAAAATTAATAGTCAACTGCTATTGGTAAGCTATAGGTAAAGCCGGTTCTGCACAAAATGACTCCCTAAAGGATGGAGTACCGAATAACAGGTCAAGCAATATTTTAACCGAGAACAGAATTTGCATGTATTTCCTTTGTTATGTAGAGTGTAACTGAACATCGCAGGCATGTTCTTATAGCCACACAGCAGGCTTACTGTTCCATATGTAGGAGCTCGGTGCAGAATCGGACAATATTACCACTCTCAAGGCTTCCTCAGCCCTGAATCTTCCTCATCTGGACACGGTTTATCTTGGACATAACAACTTTATCGCGCTGCCGGACGAACTGATCCGCTTTCTGCAGAATGTCACGACTCCTATAAGCTTGTACTTCGAAGGAATGCCTTTAACAGCCAATAGAGATCTTTGCGCCAATCAACATCTGCAATCTCTACTGCGGGTGGCACATGACCGAAAACATATCGTGAAGGTGGAATACATTTGCGGAAGACATGCAGAAGAGTTTTGTGGACCAAATACATTGAGACCCAGAGTGAAAGCCGACTTCCACTGCCAAGATTGTCGGGCTACCTTTTTCCCTGACCAGTTTGCACGCGCTTATGATATATGCCTAAACTGATGCGAGTAGGTGGTATACTATCTGCAAACGGAGCGTAGATCGTGAGGCAGGGTGACCTTTACCAATAATAACTATAATTATCACACATTTTGCCCATTGTAGTTTCAAGGAACGGCTGTTCAGTGACGCGTCGACCGATACACTTTATCCGTTACTTCCATGTAGCGAATGATAGCGCTGAAGCGGGCACGTTGCACTACGTTAATGCTTCCGATTTTTTTGTCAGCTATTGTCGGTCATGTTTGTCGTTTGGTTTAGGTTATTCATTGAGCAGACAAACCCTTGAGGCACTACCAAGTCTAAGCAGCACACTTTTACATGTTTCCTACAAAATATTTCTTACAAAACGTTTTTAATCCACTAAAATAGTCATTTCCGGTTCATCTAGGAAAACCATATTATTATGTAGTTACAGGGTGCTGATCAACGAAAAAGAGCTATGTAGGTAAAATTATTATTTATAAAATACACTTCCTGCGTTACTGAAATGTCAAACTACAAAACAACTTCTGATGACAGAGTACAGCCGCATTTGATTACTTTGACTGCAAGAAGTCTTACTGATTCTAAAAATTAAAGGAAGATCTTTTGGCCGCGATAAGCTTGCATAATCTCGGGAACCATCATGTTTGTTGCTCGGATAAGTTTGCCGCAGTGCCTTAAATTTTTTCGATATCCGATCTTCGATTTCACAAAATTTCTTGGAAGATGTTTTGCCGCGATAAGCTTACACAACCTTCGGGAACCATCATGTTTGTTGCTCGCATAAGTCTGCCTATAAATTTCTTCGACATTACGCTGCAGCGGTGGTATTTTCACATTAACAACATTCGGTTACCCGTCAGCGGCAACGGATTTTGTTCCTGACCCAAGGACTGCTTGACAGCTATGGATTTCCGTTTTCGTTTTACACTATGTATGGTTATTGCAATAGCAGGAAGCCACCTGGGAGTATCACTTGCAGCCACGGGGTCGCAAAGCACCTGTACACCGGAAAGTCAGAGAGGGGCCGAGCAATGCGCGCGATCCTTCGACTCACTGATAGAGACGAGCACACTAAAAATGCAAATGGTGCAATCAGCGATCTTCGCAGATTTCATTAACGAGACCACTGCCGCAGCTATAGTTGAATTTTTCTGTGGGTAAGCCAAATCGCAAAAGGCAACTTTGTTTATGCCAGTATGAGAGTGTCAGCGATCTCAAGTTTATGTTTGAAGTTTTCAACTGACACTAAAGCATTCGGTCTGAATTAATGCCAAATATTTACTTATCCGTTGTAGCCCGGTTGCTGGCGTGGTTAGCTGCTTAACCAATGCACCCCGTGAGTGTCCTTACCAAGGGTCACGACACATGCCTTTTTATTGGGAGCACCTCAATCTCACCGGCTTCCTTCACCAAATGTGCCGCGTTCCGCACCCCGATCAACAATTAATCCGCATTGTTGAATGCAAAAAAGCGCTGACAAACGTCTCCACTATCAGAAACGATGGCCTGCTGAGTGAGATTGGCGCACAACCTTCGCACGAAACCGTTGCGAGTTCCCTTGACTGGCAGTGCCGGTAAATAAGTCACTTACTAAAGCTAATGTGTCAACGCTATCTACAAAGTACAAACCCCATTACATAATGAGCATATATATATATATATATATATATTATATATCTTCTCTTACATGCTTAACATGTGATCGAAATCCACATAGGTACAGCCGACTGGCTATCTTTTTTACAGAGTGTATCGTCGTCTAATGGAGACGTATACCTTGGATATCGTTAAGGCGACATGTGGCGAAGGTGCTGGTGCCACATATACAACGTTGAAACCACTAATGCAAGAGGTCTTGTCCTGCCACGTCTAAATAAGCCTGTCGCGGAGAAGGCGGCGGTGCGGTCGTTCTACTACAATGCGTACATAAAAGTTACAGAATTTTTGATAACTACTGTAACTGTTTCAGTTTTTTGATTTTCTTTTATTGCTTCGAATAAAGCATAATAAAGGATTTCCTAAGGAAGACGAGTTTATTCGGTTTATTTCCCGGTAGCAACCTGTAGAACCAAAGTGCAATTATTCTAATTATGTCTAATTGTCAATTCATCTCATTACAACTGAATGAGTGTGATTTCTTATATAAAATTTTAATATTTTCTGTGATTTCTGTTTTGTTATTCTATGATTTGTAAACCCTAATTTTTTTACAAGCACTAATTTCTTGTAGCAAATGAAAGGCGTGGCAAGTCACATACACACTACGGAGATAGCGCTACCCAAGTGGCGCCGGAAAATTTACGCCGCTTTTTTTCATGATGCCCTGATAAAGGCGGAAAAATCATTCATCCGTCTCTAATGTGTATTCGTACGTGACAAAATGATACAATAAACGGCTGCCGGCTTGTTGGTCTTGTTAACCGTTACAGCGGCGAAGCTTATCAGACATGACAACAGACAAGATAAGAAGCAGGAGGAATGCACTACACAACACATGCCGTTCTAATCGCAAAATGAGTAAACGTGATTGCTTATGATTTCATTTTGATCCAGAAAGACACAGTTTGCATATTTTTGTGCATTGTGCGGTTGACCAGAAATGTTCCATAAGACGTGGAAGACATAATTGCGGTCGGTCGCAACACTACAGCTATATATACCGGTGCCAGTGTGGTACATGTCGTTACATTAGCTTACGCTGGTTTTGGAATTCATTGTAAGAAATTTTGTCTTTACTACGTACAGTTGCGCTATTTCCGTTGTGACTATGGCACGCTATAACGATCAGGGTTATGCGGCATTCACCCGTGCGCTTGACGGCGAAATCAGCGCCTTCTACAACAACATCCACGGGTACGCCAGCGAAAAGACCAAACGAACGGAGGTGGTGCAGCGTTTGCGCCGGTTCTTCACCGACAACTGGTCTGATATCAGGGTGGAGGCCTTTGGCAGCTCCGTGACGGAGAGCGGGTTACCATCCAGTGACGTTGATGTGGTGGTCGTGGTGCCGACACGGTATAGTAACGCATCCGATCCTGCCGGCTGCCTGCGAGCATTTCAGAGCGTCATGTCGAACGGTAATTCCTACGCGCTGGTCCCGGTAAACCTGATCAGCAGTGCCAACGTACCGGTGCTGAAAGTGCGGGATCAACGGACGCAGCTGACACTGGACATTTCGGTAAGGGTCGGTCGGTGTCGGGTTATGATTGAGAATTTGCGATGATAGCAGATAACTGGTGCTGTTGTACAGTCCAGACCTGGGCAGTTATGGAAAATGCGCACCCCGTTAGCGTTTAGCGTTACAGGGAGAGTGCAAGTTACCCTAGGAGATACGCTATTCATTCATGCAAGTCAGCCGAGTTTAGAGTTATATCGCAAGCCACGTTACCATAGGCAATAGTCACAATATACATAATTTTTATGAGAGCTACATTAGAGCTAAGTTTTTTTGGTAGCGAGTTACGCTTCAGAGTTTAACGTCAAAACTCAATGAACCGCAAAAAACCAGCGTTCAGTTAAATGGTGAAGCTATAACTGCCCAAATCCGTTACACACTGTATTGGTCTTTTTTATAATTATATGATTTTTAAGCGTTTTAGCACTGAAATGTCTTAGCACTGCGCATCGGTTAGATTTCCCTGTCAAATGAAATAGGATTTTGGCATAATTTGCGTTCTTGTATGACTCTCTTGTTCTGAACCGTTTCACTCCTTTTGCGCGTAATGCCACGTACTCAATGCACGGTAACCACTAACCAGTAACCAGTTACCACCGTACTGGAATAAAGTTGTTGCCACGGTAGTCGTTTATATGAACCGTTCAGATATTGAATTTCTAAATAAGTGTTTGACATGCAGTCTCTTTTTGGACGATTACAAGTACAACCAGAATGTAAGACCTGTAAGGACCGGAAACGGTCAGTTTGTTCAATTTGCGACGGAAACGGTCAAATTGCACTGTCGTGCTTCGGAGGTGAAGCTCATAAATGTTTCTCTTGCAACAACACTAGCACGACTTTTTGGTACAGCCAAGATTCTCAGTTAGTACCACTACATGTACTCGTACTTCACTGCGAAACATCTACAGCATTACGCTCATGACCTTGTTGTCCATATCTGTGTACAGCGCTGTAGGTTCCCTTTATTTTGTATGCAGTAATGTAATCCACTCAGCAGTAGCTTATGACGTGAACGTCCCATTTAATTCACTGTCCTGACTCTGATTTTCTTGTACGTACATAGTGTATGAAGGAAGGAAGCGTGCACCGCGGACTGCAAAACACCGAATGGATCCAGTCCCGAATCCGCCAGTACCCCAGCGTGCCCCGCCTGGTCGTTGTGCTGAAAGAGCTGCTTCGGCGTCACCAGCGCACCGATATCAACTCCGGCGGTATCAGCTCCTACGTCCTGACGCTGATGGTCGTTGGCTTTGTCATGAAGCGCCAAAACACCGGCGACAATCTGGGCGATCTGTTGCTGAGATTTCTCAAGTACTTTGGACAGGATTTCAACTACCGCGACCACGCTATCATGATGGCGCAGGATGGGGACGTTGTCAACAAATCCGATTTACGGCGCGTGCTGGACGAGGAACCCAGCACGCTGCTCTGCATCCAGGAACCGTTGGATGCCGGAAAAGATGCTGCGAAGACATCGGAGCGCGGCGTTCTGGCGGTTAAAGCCATATTCTCGGATGCGTACAACCGGCTGAATCGCCTGATTCCGGCAGCGCACGATCGGTACTACAATACTATTCGCAGCAACTTACTTGGCGAAATGTTTTCAGAGAATAAATGCGGCTTTACATTAAGCCGTCCATTATAGCATAAGCATCTAGCTTCGGCTGCCTTTTTTGTGCTGTTCTTAATTAAGATACGCTGTCGCCAATTCTTTGAGTAATTGTTGCTTTGAAACCACGCTTTTTATACTTTCCTTGATTGCGTCCGTTCGTTATTCGCTATCGACTATATATAATTTTCTTTGATTTGCCAGAATGTTCGCTAGTGTCTTTAATAAGCATTGTTCGTGTCAGCACTTGCGCGTTACTAATAAAAAGTGTTGTCTCTGCCAGATCATTCCATAATGCCGGGAAGAGTAATAATATGATTTCACGCACTTCGAGAACGCGACGATAATTTAGTGCCGTATATTGACAGTGCCGGTAAAAAACGGTATCTGTATTAAATTCTGCCTGGCAGCATATTTTCATAAGGTATCAAAAACCAGATTTCCTGCTGTAAAGTATGAAAGCGCAGCCGAGTAGCGCGCCATAATTCAATAATGTACTGTTACGATTTACCACTTTCAAGCAGTGTCAGGCTTTGTGATATTCGCAGTAAACACATTTACTGAATTTATTTATGATCACACCTGTAGTGCAATTTGTCGGTATCCTGACTGTACTGCTTTGTGCGGCGATAAAAGCTCAAAAGCCGGCACCGTAACTTGCAGTTATGCGGATTAACGGTCCAAGTTTCTTTACATGCTTCCATTAATTTTACAAACCAATCTCCGGCAAATCTGCAGCATTCGTACTACATTTTGCACTTTATTCGGAATAGTTTTAATTAGTTTATACCAGCACGGGCTAATTGTTACGAGAGTTAGCAGTTACCGAATTTAAACGGTTCAGCATTCTCATCGAGAAAAGCTATGTTGTGGCAGTATGTTGTTGTCACCTGTGGTTTCCTGAGCACGGCATGGCTGCTGTTGATCTGCATCGAGATTGTGTGTGTTGTGGGACAGCCACAAACGTCCATCTGCTGGAGTAATCGCACCAATGCCGATGATTTTACCGCATCATTCAATGCTTCAGTTGAAAAGGTCAATGCTACCATCGAGATGAGCGGCTCCCTTATGCGGTCATTATTGAAAGCCAGATGAAGGAGGTCGCAGCGTTTATTTTCGGTTGGCGATGTGTGCACTGTATAGATAAATAATTCACGTATACTGTAAATAACTCACGTATATTATAAATTTATAATTATTCATGTATAATGTGTTTTATGCATTCTGTACGATAGCTTCACGGCTCGCATGTTTTACCTACCAGTGTTTACTTAAAGTTATGTTCGTCATCATATGACGCTGTTATGCCAATGCTCAGTTTGCCTAACAAGCGGCAGGCCTTTGCTTCCTACAAATGGAAATTGCTACTGCTCGTTGTGCATGCAAGTTTTAAAGACACGAAAACGAAGCCAATATTTTTGGTGTTTTCCCATCCCATCTTATTAAAAAGCAGTGTCCTTTGGCTGTATTATACTTTTTTTTAACTTTAATGCCGAACCGAAGTAGTTTTACCGTTCGCAGGCAAACCTCGTACAAGAATGGTGATCTCAGACAAAACCATTTAACCAGTTACCAAATCATTCAAAGCACTTAATAATTATTAACCACAAAAAAGCATAAAATGGTCATCAGATTTTTCAAAACTATTGTTGTACCGATAATTTACTTGTATATATTCATAACTCGCCCCAAAGTCAAGTGAGCGTATGTATGAACAAATACAAATGTATGATCTAAGTCATATATAAATATAACCGTCTCTATTTGCCTAATCCAATCCGTGATCCTGGGCTATTTCCTATGGTATTGTACTGCACATTTGATTACAGAACTTGTACCTGTGCGCCTGCATCTCTCTGCATGCATGAAGCGCACTCAGCATGTTTTTAGCAACCTTTTCGTACTCATGAGTAAATAAACGATAGCAGTGCGAACCTTATCAGCTTATTGGTCTTACCGTCCTACCGGCTCCTTCGGTTTCTTCAGCATGGCATCAGTTGATTCTATATCTCTATATCTCTATATCTGATTAATAAATTGCGGAGTACGTTAATAAACGCTGAAACAACAAGCCGGACAATAGAAAATTGCGGCTGTTTTGTGAAATTTTAACCACCTAATCGCAGAATTGTAAAACTGACTCTGTCTCCTTTACTGAGCCTTAGGTACTCGAGCATCAGGAAGTGAGCTACCATCACTACAGGGAATATTAAAAAATCAAAACCTTTATCTCGCCTCGAGTAAAAAAGCAAAGTGCCCAACACAGAAGTGACATTTCCGTTACCCACAGGTAACATCCAAAAGAAACGCTGCTTACGAAAAGTAACGGGCTACATTATATTGCTGACGAGCTGCTGGCTCCTTGTTCTAGGGTGCAGTACAGTACATTCTGCACCGGGGACTCCACAACAGAAAATGGATCCAGTCCGTTGTCCGTGCCTATCCTCATTTCGCTCGCCTCCTCGTCGTTCTCAAAGAGCTCATCCGACGTCGTTACCTAACCAATAACAACATCGGCAGCTGCAACTCGTACATCGTATCACTAATGGTCATTAGTTTCCTTCAGCGAACCGACAGCTGGGCGAGTTATTTACTGGGATTTCTCCAGCTCTTCGGCCAGGAGCTGGACTACAAAGCGGATTCCCTTTTGGTATCCGATGGAACGTTTGTCATTCAGCAGGACCTGCGGTGCCTACTACGCGATGCGCCGAGGAAGTTTCGCTGCACCCATGAGCGGCTGGATACTGGAGAAAACGGCGGGAAGACCTCGCAGCGCTTTTTACTTCCGGCCCAAAATATATATATATATATATATATATATATATATATATATATATATATATATATATATATAAACGATGCGATGCATTCTGTACATCTCTATGGGTGCATAGTTCTGATCGAGAGTGACGCGCTTCATCGCGTTGAAACTGCCGGCTCGACAACGGACCCGTGGGCATCCCGAAGCAACCCCCATGGACGCCGGAGCCAGGTGCATCCTGTCGGAGATTTCGACGACACGATCAGGATTCACTGCCAGGGAAGAGGGACACGGAAGCACCCTGGGAGCCACCGCACGAGTTAATATTAGGGCACTGGACTTTATCAGTGCAGGGAGCTTTGAAACAGGGGTCCCGAACCAGATCATAAGCGGCGGAGACGCACACGACGAAGAAGAACAAGGCCAAGACAATGAGATAGGTAGCCTGCATTTTGTCGTCGGTAGAGGTTTAGGCAGCGGAACTGCTAAGTGCGGAAGAGAGCTAGCAAATGACGTTTGACTCTGTAGCATATTGCCGCAGTTGGGCCACGCGTCCGCTTATATACCAAGACAGATGCAGGCTGTTGACAAATATATTATTTCTTGTGGAAGGTTTCGTTACTGTACTGTTACCCTGCACTTGCCGAAAGTTTCAGTGGTGCAGCGAGGCGTACGTTGTACAATCGCTATCACGATTCACAATTTCACATAGACGGCATACAGCACCTAACTGCGCACACTGTACGAAACTTCGGCAAGTGCAGGGTAACAGTACAGTACTTTCGTTTGTGCAAGTTGGTCTGTTCCAGGCAAGTTAACAACCGAACTAACCAAAGCAAGCCATTTCCTTAACCAAAGCCAGTGTCTACATGTTTGAATCACAATACGTAGCGCATGTGATGCTTCGAGTTGTTGTCGAAGGCTCGGTCATGCGGTGACCTTTCCGTTCCTTATTAGATTATGAGTAATCCGGAAATGATGTTGGAACACTTCCCATGGAGACTGGTTGGGAACGTTTTAATCACAATACCGCGGATCGTTATATCAGCTGGTCGGCTCAGGAAGCAGGAATGCAGGATCAATTACTTAAATATCACAAGTTGGAGATGCCGTCTGCCGTGCATTCGCATCCAGTTGCCATACCGTTGCTGGCTCACGTATCGCAGTGCACGGATGTATTAACCTTGCTCTCGGTGTCCTTGATATAGTTTTATGGAATCAGTATGACCACAATTATTAACAGCAATTATATATAATAATATGTATACGGAACAACGCGGCAATTGTTAGATAAGCCAGCTAAAGGTCACCTTTGTTCTGCATAGCCAGGCACAGCAGGAAACCGTATTTATTTTTATTTGTAATTTAGGCGATTCTGCAGTATTATGACGAAGCGAAAACATACTTCATGCTTCATGCACGCGGTACATTTTGTACATTGTCCCAGTGTAGGCACTCTTCGGTGAGTTTCATTCCTGGTATCTTTTTTTACCTTTCTTAATGCTTGTAATAAATTTAACAGATTTTTTTTATAATTATATTTTTTAAAAAAATTTTAATATAATAAACTAGATATTAACATAAATTAATATGATATGCGTGACATATGCTTTTATTAGGAAAATCGGCTGGATCATCTAACATGTGCCACTGTCACGACCTCTGTAAACAGAAACAACTGCACAGCGATTTAGAGGTACTGTAACGTGTAATAAATAAGACAAATGGTGCTTCCGCCAACCTAAATTTTTTTATGTAGGAGGGAAAACCACTTTACTCGATCGGTTTCCCAGTTCCCTGTACTGCTGCCGTCTCCCGGCTGGAGCGTGTTTAAATGGCAGAATATGGCGCTGCTTTACGATGCCAGATTTGAATTCGAATCATTTTAATAAGTCGCATTTCGCGAATGCACCTTTCTGCAATATTTACCTGTTTGCTGTACTTTTTTTGCTTTTGTCTTTTTGCCTTAAGTATCTGTACTGATGGCTTTGTGGCCTAATAAATGAAGATTTCTATGATTTATAGATGACTTCGATTTTTCAAATGTTTTTAATCTACCAATAGTAAATATGTACCTGGCGCTTAAACATGGAAAAACACTGAATTGAGCATTTTTGTGATAGACAGTGTGCAGAGTGCAGACGTGCAGTGCGCAATATCTAAGCTTGATAGCATGTATTTGAATAATTATGAAGTCAATGCAACGTTTAAACTGCATTCGCATCTCCAGTATGTACGGATAGTACGTAAAGATAGTACATAGACGGATAGTACGTACCGTATCACTGTAGTGACTGTACCTACATACCATGCACAGAACGGGTATGCGCAATACACGCGTACAGCTGTGGATGCGGAAGAACGGGCGGTATCCAATTAATTTCTTAATGAATCTTGCACAAAACAGGTTTATAACTGATCCTTTACAAAAAACATTTATCTGGAAAGGTTTTGGCACATAAAAAAGCAAAAAAAGAGGGCATACCGAGAATCGAACTCGGGTCGACGGATTCAGAGTCCGACGTGCTAGCCGCTACACCATACGCCCTCAGCTCTAAACGCCATAGTTTAACCACCGCAATAAAAGGATCAATTAGTGTTTTGCGTGAAAACGCTGAGCCGGTACGCACAAAAATTCCCCAACCACTTACGTTAGGTGCGTAAAACCTTTTGGGCACATGCTTCTAGGAGAAAATGCTGATTACAACTTGGATGAAAATGAAACCAACGGGTAATCGTCTTAAAAAGACGGAGAAGTAAAACACTGCATTCTAAATTAATAATCTTTGCAAATTCCCAATGACATTTGATACAGATCAATATCTACGAATAATTCAATCATTTTTAAAATTCAATCATTTTAATTAGTTTAAATCTGCGCAGGCTTTTTGTCATTGAGTACGGGCTGTTGCCGAATAAAAACTATATCTACGAATTTTGCAGGTAGTGTCGGACTTGTATTTCTCCATATTAGGGGAAATGGCCCGCTACATTTTTGTGCCAGTTTGAGTCCATATACGAAAACCTCCACTTTCGCGCACACCCAAACACTTTTATGCATCGTTTTGTTGCATTCTCTAGCCAAATGATTAGTACACGTTGGTGCGAAAATCGTTGTGCGCGCAACATCCGGTTGGGAAATTATGAAGTGAAATATGATTCCGAAAAGGTTAGATGCAAGAAGGTGTACCAAAAGCCTCATTGTGAACCGATCTCTTTCAAATTTTGCAGAAAAAGGCACATACGTATAAAGAAAGTTTTAACACTCAACGTCCAGGTTTCCATGGTGTTTTTCAAATTTTAAAATGAATTTCAAAATTTTAAAATTTATTTTAAAATTGGAAAAAATGCCAGAATTAACACAATAAAATGCCAGTGTGTTCCGTAAGATTGGCAAGGAACAAGAATGTTCCGTTTGGTCAAATATGTATTTAAAGTAAAGCTAAATATTTCCGCAAATTTTTTATCGAACTGGGAGTGATTCATATGCGTACGCAAAACACTATGTATACGAGTCTACGTGTTATATTGTGCAACAGATACGTATACGAGTACAAAATACAGTATCCCGGCATTTTTGATTCAAAATTTGGCAATATTCGCTTAATTCACGCGGTCGTACACTTGCGTATCGTAATACCGTTTGCCAACATTTCGGCTGCGTATTAGACATGCAGTTAATTGCGCTGAAGGAAATGTTAGTCAACCATGCATTAACAAATCTATGTAATGTATATTTTCCAGATACTCGGAATTTTCAGCCCCAGATTTCTCTAGGCAGCATTACTATATTAGGTTTCTGGGAAATGTTTTGAACATTCTCTTGATCCAGGTGCTAGCATGTCTGTCGGCATGTAAAGTTCTTAAATTAAAATGTCTGGTGGCAAAAAGTGCGTTTTCACACAAATTATACAGAAAGTATGGTCATTTAACTCGATAAAGATAATATGATTTATTTTACATGCAACTGTACATGTATACTTCGTAAATACATCATTTTTAAACGTGGCCAATCAAATGCAACCATATTAAAAATACTTATAAAACACGCCTACTGAAACCTCAAATACGCACATAATTTCAAGTATCACTTTAACTACTGACCAACAGAAATAATTTAAAAATTAACTGCAAAACGTCCAGAGTATTTTCGTTATACAAACGTTCAAAAGTCATGACGAGACTTTAGGGTGAAGCATATTTTATTTGGGAGAGTTTAATGACGCAGCAGAGTATGGAATAAAATATAAAAAATATACTCATAAAATGAAATTTACTAACAAAAACTAACGTATCAAAGAACGGCTAACCAGAATTATTATTATATGCATAGAATTTAAGCTTACCTTTGGTTTCTGCATTAAGAAGAAATCAGAGCCATGTATCTGCGAATTAGAATGTTATTATACCGGCAAAATACGCTCCGCCGTATGTGATAATTTTGTTGCTGAAATTTCCATTAGCCTGCATTAATCGCGTGTTGAATTTTTTCCATGTCTACGTAGGTAATTTACTATCCGATCGATCATAATAATTTATTGCGGTCCTACTGCACTCTATTAATTGTCCCAATAAAGCACGGCGCTGGTTGAGTGCCGCTCTATCGCAGCGGTGTATTTTGGTTTTGCCAATTTTCCCGGTAGCTCTTAGCCAAATATTAATGTAATTGTATTTCTACGTCACAGTGAGAAATTATACGTTATTTCAGTTACAGTAATCGGTAGTTCCCTCGACATATACATAACCACGAAATTATACCCGATGGGACTTCAGATTTCCTTTAATTTCCAATCATTGCAGCGTTGGTAACTGGTCAATTTTATAGAAAATCTGTGCGTGTTTTCACTTGTGCTCTTTTATAAAAAAATATATACACTGAACAGAAAAAAAATAAAAACAAATATCCAAACATCAAAACAACGAAATTATCCCGGCAAAAATCGTTGAAGCATGCACGCCTCCGTCTGCTGATGGAATTAATCGGAGCTATACAGGCAAAAAGCTCGATACCGTAATTACGATGCGTGCACGGCATGCCTTGCAAAATCAATACCGAATCGATCCGGTGATGCCAGTAAAAATGCCACTCCAGTTGTTGGAACATCTTCATAATTAATTTTCTATGATACTGCTCCGGTCATGGAAATATATACATCAATGCCAAAAAAATAAAATTTAATTATGTACATATATAAAAAAACCAGTCCGCATTTTTTTTACCGAGTGAGATTTTTCAAGACGGCCATGAGCTGGTCATTGCCGGCGAGTTTCTCCCGCAGCTGTCCAATCTCCGCGTCCAGCACCCGCTTCTCGCCCTGCATCCGGTCCATGCGCACCCGCGACTCGGCGATGGCTTTGCGCATACTTATTCGATACAACTCCATATCGCCGATGTATTTCTTCCGGCGTTCCCGGTTGAATTTGGCGTACACGGCGTGCGACGTCGAGCGGCCACCGGATTCATCCGTATGGGAATTGGACCACGAGGACCCGGCGTCGCTGTGTTTCCGCTTCAGGGCACGCCGACGCCGGTGTCCGGGGCCGTTGACTTCCGGTCCCCGGGAGGGTCCCGGGGACGTCGGAAAGGACGGGGCTTTCTGGATAATACTGGGCGAGAGTTTGGTCTTGTCCGTGTGGCAGATGACGCTGGTATGGTTGCGCGGCGCGGGCGACTCGGGGCTGGCCGGGACCGGGTAGAGATTCCACAGGGGAAGAATCGGGGGCGCCGGCTCCATGCTGTTGATGTAGCGGTCCGGAGGGAAGGTCGGGAGGCCATAGAAACGCGAATGGTAATAGCCGATGGGGCCCATGATCGTCACGGGCTGATAGGGGGGCATGGCGACCTCCGGGTCGGGGGGACGAGGGGAGAAGGACGGGAGGGGGTTAATGAAGTGCGGGGGCTGGCGGGGAAGTCCGGATAGCGACTGCTGCTGCTTGTTGATAGGGGCCCACGCGGACGGGGGCTGGACGGATGGGGGAGGGGCTTGGCGAAGGTCCGGTCATCCATGTGCGGAGGTGGGAACCACTAGACATAATAATACACACACCGTTCCCCGGGAATAACAAGATCTGTGGCCCCTGGTTGTGGGCTGACTAGAACATGGTTGAAAGCAATGAGTGGGCGCTTTGTATAATAATTATCTGATAAACAGCTCTGGATCACAGCGGTCCCTGTTGCCGTTCTTCCTGTTATTTAGCACATACCACGGTAGCTCTCGCTGAACAAACCGCGAGAGACACACACCGCGAGTGCTAAACACCCGAACCGGGGACGATGAAGAAGAAGTTTACCAATAATAAAAATTTGTGGGTCCAACTACGGAATACTGCAGTACACGATGCAGTAAAACGCCGATAAATCCGCAACGCTATGTGTGTATATATGTGTGTGCGTCGGCCGTCGCATATTTGCGTGTGTGTGTATGTCAATATCGGCCGTGGCCCGTGTGGATAGACAGGTTATCTTGCAGCGCCACGTGCGCATTTTCGTAATCAGCTGCCGGCATATACACAGCGTGTACTGTACGTACCGGCGTTGTAATCATACTGCTGCCGTCTTCTTCGCGGTTTCCGCAAAGGATGCTGTTGTATAGTCATCCACAGTACTACCGGTTGCACGGTGTATCCGCGGGTTAGTGAATGTACCATCGCCGACGGAGGCTGATTAATCACCGTGTAACAGACACGGTGGGAATGACAGGCACCTTATTACAGGGTAATAAAGGACCGGATTAGGCCGCCGTTATGCAACGCCTACTGCGGGAAACGGGGTTCCGGGAAACCGTGCCCAACCCGCTAACGGGAATTGTCAGGCCTAAATAAGGCAGCGATTATTTAACAATATGGGCGTAGATTTTATTGATTTCCACTAGCGAAAAACTTGAAAATAACAATTTTTTTTATTATATTTATTTCTTAATACGAGTATTCTTCTTGGTTTTTCTTTATTATTCGAACGAATATTTGCAATTATTTGATACCATTCGTAACATTATCAATAACTTGAAAATCGCTGGTACAAAATTCACTCGTTTGATTGTACTGTAATAGAAAAATATTCAAAATAAAGAATTTTAAAATATTACGAATAAATACATAATTGTATAAATTACTGTTGATTGATGACAAAAATACCGCCAACAAAATTTAAATTCCTTACAGCGCATGTTATAAAATATTTTTAAAAAAAATTGACAGTATTACATAATTAGGTATCGTGTTCCAGAATTACAGTAATATATTATACTTACTAGAATAGAAAATTTTGATGAACTTTAATCACTACCGGTTTGGGCTAACTGCAACAGTATGTAATTGCCATGAACGTGCAGCACCACTCCACTTAATGAAAAAACCTTAACGATCTCTCCAAGTGTCACGCATAACCACGCATCAAGGTTTCTTTTTATCCGCTTTACATTTCGGAATAATTTTTGTCTAGCTGCGAGATCGACATATATGCCAGCGGCGATCGATTTCTCCGTCGTCTGTATTGTATGAACTATGAAGCATGTAACCCGTATGGCGCTCAATGCATGATTGCCGTTTTTCGGCAGTTTATTCGTGGCGGAACTTTGCAACGCACACAATTGTACCGGCATCCATCGCCGCAGGAAGTAGATCAATCACGTACGACTTCCCACAAGCAGTTGTTACGTGTATGATGGAACGTGGCAGCTTATAAATAAGCTACACTGCACCCATTGTCAGTGGTCAAACTCGTACCGATCATGAGATTAAATATTGTAGTACGATGCTAGTCCATAGTACACACAGTCATTCGATAAAACGTGAATATCGTGAAACAATTTACGACAATAATAATTTATTGTAGTACGTTAGATCGGTACAATATATGTATTTCTCCCCGTAATAAAGCACAACGCGCAAACTGGTTAAAAAACCGGTGGTATACCGAACCGCTCGCTTCCACATAAGCCACAAAAGTACGTACTGTGACGCTACTGTGCTTGTAAGAATGTGAAGCGTCCAGCCGCTCGTGGCGGACGCGATCTTTTACATGTACCGCACAATCAGACCACCACCCCAGTGCGAAAGCTGAAGAATTTATTTACATTAAGCTTTGCGCTGAAAAGTTTTAATTATGACCTTTTGTCGGCACCGGCCGAAATTAGAAATATGTAGTTGTACTTTTTTATGTTAAAATTAACTGTAATAAAATTAACAGAGAATAAATTGTATCTGCATTGGGTGAACAAAAAATCACTACTCGTAGATGTACAGATACCGCGCATTAATGGATAATAATTTTGGTAATAAGCAACGGCCTGTATTGAGCAAAGTAACGCTGGAAAAATATCGAAAAGCTTTGCATGTTTTCCCATGAACTGTACTCGTACTACAACATATATCCGGTGAATCTGAGGATGCATAAAATAAACAAATATACGAAAACTCGTAACTGTGTAGGCAGCCTAACGAATTTGGGGAAAAAAAGCATGAATGTGGTTACATTAAAGCGATGGTAAGGGAGCGCTATAGCTTGCGTTTCGATGCATTATTCAGTAATCTAGTATTATAGAATATCTACATGCACACAGTAATTATATACGGAATATATTTTACACAGATATGCGGAATTACTGGCGGCAGTAAGCGGTGTAGTGCGGAAAAATGTCGACGCGTAGATGAATGTATAATATTCCGAAACCCACTCGAAACATATGTATATCAACCACGGTGCGAAAACGAACAAATCGGTTGCACCTCAGCAGCGGCCAAACATCAGCCGACGTGAAATAAAATATATTCGTATAATAACGGCACTTGGATAATCAGTACCTCGTATAATAAGTAGCAGTGCATAAAATACTACAGAGTCGTCACAAATCGGCCATAATTACTATGTCGTACGATACTAGTACTAAACATTGTCATGATATAATGCTGTCAAAAAGTGCAGTAGTCTCGATTACCGGAAAGGTTTTTGTTATGGATAGATGCCGCATATATTGCTAACACGACAGCACCGGTAACTACACTGATGGATGACTCCGGCAACGCGCGACCAAATTATAGGATCGAAGATCCTAGAAAGTCCCATACTTCGTACAGATTTTGTTCAAGGAAATGGCCCGGCACAGCTTTGTATACATTCAACGAAACCTTTCGTTTTCGCCCGTCTCGAAATATTTTTGCATTGTTTTAAATCATGTATACGTGTAGCCAACACATTTGTCTATATTGACTTGTAACCGGACCGTAACTACACATTTGGGAGCGCAACATCCGGATGCTGAAAGTAATATGGCAATTAAAACAAAATTTAAAATGCACTGTCTGAATGTGCACAGCAACCGTCAGGTTATTGTCCGAGCCTTTGGAAACTTTTTGTACATAAAATACAGTTTTACTAATATTACAACTCTGAACCAGACAACCAGAACAGTAAGTACTAACCACACACATCGGCAATTCTGTAATAAAAAAATAAACAGCAATACCGGGAAATTAGTACCACCTACTGCGATTTTTATATTTTCCTATACAGCACCTTTAAATTTAGCAAAGGCCATATTTAATAAAAATAAAATATTTCCAAAGTCAGAATTATTATGCTCAGTAATCAGTATATTAATCCATTAAAAAATTATTATTTTGATTATTATGGCAACCAGCCCATACCATCGGCGCTGCAGGCGCTGCTGCAGATATTCCTGCTGCTGCTGTATATCAGAAGAAAAGAAGCGTTGAAATGGTCACCGGACAAACATTAACATCTTGTTTATGAATAACAGACATATTATTATTTACAAACACTCTAAACATCAATAATTCGGCGTAGCTACAATAAACAATAACATCTGGAACACAACAATAATTACGACTATAATTACAACAACGTTAAACCCATTACAACAACAAACTTATGTTTTTATTTAGTTAGCTATATGGTTATAATCATAATCCTAACAGTAAATTACGTTATTAACTTAAATTCTTAAACAATAATAATAACTATCGCAATAGTATTCTGTATTTAACTATGATTAATGTTACCATAAAGTAGTTTAGTTTAAGTAAATTATAATGATGTTAGTGCAGTGGTGTTGTTCACACTAAGTATCCAGACGTCGGCTGTTGGATTTCGAGTGAAGTTGTGCATGGCGCGCCGGGAGACATTCCTTGAGATGGACTGCCTATTCATATGCCGACCTAATTCAGCATGACGCTGTCCGGTGACCTACTTTTTCATGGAATGTCTCCCGACGCACCATACACATAGTTATAACAATCAGTTAATGCTGGACGCCCGTTTTGTTACCTTACTCCGCCTTATCACACCTGTGATACACTGCGAGAGATGAAAAGGCGGTGCTGGCCACCGTATTTTCTACCCAATAGTGTCTATGTGCTGAGATGGGCACTCATTGGCTGTAAAATCGGAATGTTTACACTCCCCTTTTGTCTCTCCACAGTATATCACAGGTGCGATAAGGCGTGGCGATGATCAGATCGGTAAACTGACGCCCTAAGAACTGCTTGCACGAGAACCACTTTGTGCAACGATAATGACTACTGTATATAAATTTTCTACACAGTAGCTTTGTCTGTTTAATTTATGTATGTACTCGTATAGTTATACTGTGTACGTACTGTGTATGCATTTTGTATGTACAGTAATCTGTTTATTGCTGTAGTTCACCGTATGTTTACAATTTTTTGTGTAATGAGCAGGCTATCATACCCATTCTATCATACTCATACTGGCTATCATTCTAATAATTATTATAAAAGTTAAGCCCTGGGGCCTCACGAGATTGTTTGGCGGGGTCCAAATGGACGTACACCTCTTAGCAATGTACTCATACTGTATTTTGTGGGACGTCGGTTTTACATGGCTAGTGGACAGTCTAATAAAGCGTATTCGATCCTGGTACGTTACATTGTGAGGGAGAACACGGTTGCTGTACCACCCTGGAAACTGATAACTGATGCTGGAAAAGCTAAGGATACGGCACCCAAGGGGTTTTTTTCTTGATCTTATTGAACTGGATTTTCGGACAACTACGTCGTTATTCTACACTATACGGTAAAAATAGGTACCTACTACTGACTATTTCGATGCGGTTTGTGTTGTATGGTAGCCAACTGTATTTCGACTTAAGTTCTCATTGATAGACTGTGCACAACTTCTCATTGATACACTCACTTAAGTTCTCATAGATTCTCATTGATGACTGTGCAGATACAGTATTGCCCGAATTTTAATGTCAGTGACTGAAAATATTACTGCTTACTGTAAAGTCGGCAGGATTTTTTTGCTGTCAAAGGCAGTTTATTGTGACAGGCTTGGTAACGCGTTCAGTTATTATGATGTGGTCCTGATGGACTACGAGACTGTCAGGTGTGGGAGACACCTGAAAATTATTTTATTCCAAAACAGAAGTACGGGATAACATTCACATTCCACTGAATATAGATTCCACTCAACTA